GGCGAAACCTTGGGCAAGTTTCCTTACTCCACACAGAGCCTAATAATAATCCCTCCAAAAAAAAAACAATAATTAAATTGGTCATTTTCAATCTACGACTGTTTGTGGGACATTGCTGTGCGCAATTGGCTGCCGCGTTCGCCCACAAATATACAGTCAATTCACTTTACAGTGTGTTCTGTGAAGCGCTTTTGGGACGTCCTCCCGACGTGAAAAGCGCTATATCAAATGCAAGGATTATTATTATTATTATTATTATTAGATAGAGAGAGCCTTTGTTGATGGCTTTAATCTGCAATCTGTGCACCAAGCGTGTGAAAAGGAGAAGGAGATAACGCCCGGTTAGTTAACAGCTGTTAGCCCTGCCTAAGGTGGCTCTTCATCCACCTCCAGACACAACAGCCCGCACAGCAAACTAAACCGGAGCTCGGGTACATTATTGCCATACCCCACCCCACCTCCCCGCTTACGCACACACAGCGACAGACCAGAAATGAAATGTCACCGTCGCTGACGTGCATGACCTTGAGAATGCCAGGAACCAGAAGCAAACCCATTTGTCGCAATTTAGCAATAACCGGCATGTGTTTGCGTGCTGCCAACAGTCCCTGGAATTCCAACAAGGAAAATAAGCAGGGAGAATTGGAGGCACTGGCAGCCTCAGGCGCCTTGAGAAGTTCACAGCACAGGAGGAGGCCATTTGGTTTATTGTCTCTGTGCAGGTGTTTCCTCCCCCACTGGGCGCATCTACTCCAATCCCAACCCCAAAAGTTTTACAATTTTGTTGCATCTGATCCCCCAGCTATGCTTCCAAGTCTCCAGTTCCAGCTTGCAAGCAGTTTCTGGTTCCCAGTTCCCTCTCCCTTCTCCCCCACCCCCTTCCAAGCAATCAAATGGTGGGGTTCAGCCCAGAGACCACTGGTGCGGTTGGCAGTAGCTGAACCATTTAGAACCTAAGGTACCCTTTGGAAGAGGGGATGATAATAATAATAATAATAAAAATATTAATAATGATCCTTGCATTTGATATAGCGCCTTATCACGTCTTCGAGACATCTCAAAGCGCTTCACAGAATATGCTATAAAGCGAACAAACTGTGTATTTTGTGGGTGAAACGAGGATGTGTATTTTATGGGATAAAACTGCACACCCCAGGGGAGATACTGGCAAGCTTCCTGCTGCTTTCTAACTCTGAGGGTCTTTGTTTGCAAAATTAAAAAGAATTGTGTTTGCCCCATTGGGGAGCGCAGGCTGTTCAATCTCGAACTCTGCTCTGGAGAACTTCAGATCTACCTAAATAAGATGTTACTGAGCCCGCCACAAAGCTATTCTTCACTAGTGACACCTCCGAGCTATCTCAGAGACAGGGCTTAATCACTGATCTCCTCTAATGGGCAACTGTTTTTAGGACAACAGCCATAATAATAATAATAATCAGGGCAAAAGAGCCACCCCAGGTTCATGGAGCATGACCACAGCAGTCCTTTTCCACCCCTCAGTACAACATCACTAATCTTACAAAGGCAGCCTTATTCTCCAGAGCAGATTAGCCACAATACCAAGTATTCAGAACTTTATCAGGCTATCTTAATCAGCAATGATATCAAGACTTACCAGATCAGCTTCACTCCCCAGAGCAGGTTACAAAAGGGCACTGTGTTTGGCTGAGATTCATCCCACTGTAGCCTGTGATCAGCACCAGTTACTCACTGCTTGGATGTGATGTACTTTGTTAAATGGTTAAGCTTTGTTATTTTTCGCACTAATAATAATAATAATCCTTGCGTTTGATATCGCGCCCCATCACGTCTCTGAGACGTCTCAAAGCGCTTCACAGAATAGACTGTAAAGTGAATTGACTGTATATTATGTGGGCGAAACGCGGCAGCCAATTGCGCGCAGCAGCGTCCCCACAAACAGTCGTGGACTGAATGTGTGAACCGTTGCTGGAATACTTTGTGGATTAAAGCACTGTAATATTTTCATATCACTTGAAAACAGAATTCATTTACAGCTACTCTTGTTCAAGTACTGTTCATTTTAATGAAGCATTTAATAATCATTTTCTTTCAAAAAAAGGAATACAATTCCTGATACCCCTCTCATGGTCCTGAGATTGCCTGTCGCTCATTATATCTTTATTACAATATGTTACACTCTACTATGGGTCATTTACTATTAGCCCACATTTCACTGCAAAATGCTAAATACTTGGCTCCCAAGGACCACATATGAAATGAGGATAGACTGCAAATTCATAGCTTACAATGCTGTTCTTGAACTTGGCGGCACAAGTATGGAAAATGGTTTAAAAGAAGGGATTTGGCACCCCCTCGTGGTAATTCCTTTAATACCCATCGTTTCCCGTTTCAAAAGGAGCGAGCAGCACCAGGACTGGTGAAAAGGTGTCAGTAAATCACTGGGTGTCTCCCTTTTCGTCAGTCACACCAAGTGGACTCACCCCCAGCAAAAGAGGCCCTTCGATTCGGTGTCATTTTCAATCTGCACATTTTCACCCCCTACACAATAGCGCATTGTCTCCCCTCTGTTCCCAATGGGGTGCGAACACAGTACAGGAAGGCAGATGGCAAAGGCCCCAATCCCATTTGTCAAATAGGCGTAATTGTCTTGATAATAGAACAGAATATATCAGTGTCACTTCAGTCTCTGTGCTTTCCATAGTGTCCTTTCCAATCTCTCATAACGCTTGGTTTAATAAAACAAAAACACACACACACACAACAAAATGGGTCTTTTGCCAGGAAAATCAAAGGAAAACTACGCAGATCTATTGAAAGTTTCCCCCTTTGTGCGTCCTGTGGAAGGACTGACACTGGAAAATTGTAGAAAACCATTATCCTGATAGCAATCACGTCACAGAGACTATTCTGTCCCCAGACACTCCCATGTCTGCACAAGGGTAAATGAGACGGATGCTTTGGCAGAGAGAATGTTTCCACAGTGGGTTATGTAACAGTCTCAGGTAATGACAATGATGTGCGTCTTCTTTACAGTTTCCGAAAAAAGAGCTTCTACCTCCCTGTAAAATGACTGAATTTGAGAAGAACAGTACACAATTCCGCTCAATCTTAAACTTTAAGGCAACATAGTCCTATGGGCTAAGACTAGGTGCAATTGTGGGTCTAAGATCGGTATTTTTAGATTGTTGTTTTAGCCGTTAGCGCATCCTATTTTGACTTTATAGATAAAGAAACTCCTCAGCAAACTTTTCCCTGCTTCACTCTTGTCTATGCAAATAGCTCTCTTGTTTTCAGCAACAAACAAATACTGGTCAGTGCTCACATGGCAAGCTACAATAATTTTAATAATAATAATAATCCTTACATTTGATACAGGACCTTATCATGTCTTCGAGACGTCTCAAAGCGCTTCACAGAATATACGGTCAAGTGAATTGACTGTGAGTATAATAATAATAATAATCCTTGCATTTGGTATAGCGCTTTTCACATCTTCTAGAATAATGAATAGAAATCTAAGTAGTTTTAGTCGGTTAAACTCCACAGTACCTTAACACCCACTTTGCTTTGGCTTTCACAAACCTGTGATTGTCGTCATAATTATTATTATTATAATTCTTATTGTGGTTACCCAGCACCTTTAGCAATGAGGGATTATAACCAGGAAATGTCTTTAGCTGCCACATCATAATCTAAAGGTGCTGGGGGCAAAACTGGGTGAAACTTTGTTTTGTGTCCTTTAGTTGGTACACGGATAGCCAATGAATTGGTGACAACTTGGCTTCGGATGATTCATTATGATGTGGTAGCATTAATATAAATGTCATTTTAGGAAAATCTCCTGGCTTTAGGAACCCCTTACAGATCCCTAGTGTAGATGTCTACCACTGGATTCCCTCAACAGATCAGGATAATGGTTTTCTACAATTTTCCAGTGTCAGTCCTTCCACAGGAAGCACAAAGGGGGAAAAGTTCAATAGATCTGCATAGTTTTCCTTTGATTTTCCTGGCAAAAGACCTATTTTGTTGTGTGTGTGTGTGTTGTGTTTTTGCGTGCGTTTATTTTACAGAGCTTCTTGAAAAAAATAAACTGAGTGCTCAGTTCTCTGAGCTGAGTAATTAATCAATGGTCCGCAGCGTTCAGAAATGCATTCATAATGATTGAGTGAGTGAGTGTGAGTGAGTGTATGTGTGAGTGCGTGTGTGTGTGTGTCTGTGTGTGTGAGTGTATGAGTATGTGTGTTTGTGAGTGTATGTAAGTGTGTGTGTATGTGTGAGTGAGTGTGAGTGTGTATGTGTAAGTGTGAGTGTGTATGTGATTGTTTGTTTGAGTGAGTGTGTATGTGAGTGTGTTTGTGTGTTTTTGTGATTGTGTGATTGTATGTAAGTGTGAGTGAGTGTGCAAGTGTGTGTGTTTGTGTGTGAGTGTATGTTTGTGAGTGAGTGAATGAATGTGAGTGAGTGTATGTAAGTGTGAGTGAGTGTGTGAGTGTGTGGGAGTGAGTTAGTGAGTGTGAGAGTGTGTGAGTGAGAGTGAGTGCGAGTGTGTGTGTATGTGGGTGTGTGAGTGAATGAGTGAGTGAGAGTGTGAGTGAGTGTGAGTATATGTGGGTGTGTGTGAGTGAGTGTGAGTGTATGTGGGAGTGTGTGTGAGTAAGTGAGTGTGAGTGTATGTGGGTGTGTGTGTGAGTGAGTGAGTGTGAGTGTATGTGGGTGTGTGTGTGAGTAAGTGAGTGTGAGTGTATGTGGGTGTGTGTGTGAGTGAGTGAGTGTGAGTGTATGTGGGTGTGGGTGTGAGTGAGTGTGAGTGTATGTGGGTGTGTGAGTGAGTGTGAGTGTATGTGGGTGTGTGTATGAGTGAGTGAGTGTGAGTGTATGTGAGTGTGTGTGTGAGTGAGTGAGTGTGAGTGTATGTGGGTGTGTGTATGAGTGAGTGAGTGTGAGTGTATGTGAGTGTGTGTGTGAGTGAGTGAGTGTGAGTGTATGTGTGTGTGTGTGTGAGTGAGTGAGTGTATGAGTGAGAGTGACAGTGGACGATGCTGCCAAATCAACACCCACATACACACATGACACTGTCTCAAACCGAGGAAGAGGAAGTCTCTGACAGTAAAAGAGCGGCTGCGGTTCAGTCTCTTCTGTTGGATTCGTGGAAACATCAAACCTGGAGCCGTGACGGGATGAGCTGTGGCCGTGGCCAGTGAGTGGGGACCGGCTGCTGTGAGAGATCCCCAACCTTTGGTCAACATGAAGATCTCAGGTTTACTGCTGTTCCTCCTGTGTCCATTCCCCCTCCTCTCTGAAGCCGTGGACCCATTCAGAACGTTTACACTGGCCGGATTGGCCGCTGCTGCTCAGTATCATCTGTATTGCAGATTTAGGGAATGTTGCTCTGAGGATTGGATCCCACTGGATGTGAAAGGTAACTGGAGATTCTGCACTCGCTGCTGTTTGTGCGCGTGTGTGTGTCTGTGTCCCTCTGCTTTACCCCCACTTCCCCACCCCCACACACTCCCTCCACATTCACTCTCACTGTCCATCAACTGCCCACTTTCCACCTTGATATCTCAAACCCACTCCTCACTGGATCCTGAACCCCCCCCACCCCCACCCCCCCCACCCCAAAACAGAAGTGGCTGGGAACACAACACACTCAGCAGGTCAGGTCAGGCAGCATCTATGGAGAGAGGAGAGCGAGTCAACGTTTCGTGTCCAAGACCCTTCGTGAGAAGGGACCCTTCAAGTCCCGCCTCAAGACCCTCCTCTTGGACCACGCCATCAGCCACCCCACTTCTCCTCCACCCTCACCCCCAACTGCAGGACAAACTTTATCAACGTTCCAACAGTTGTTTCAAACAAGGCTTTGTCTGCCCACAAATGTTTTCAAATGTTTCGTGCTGTACATAAACAGCACATTTCAACACCAAAATCAACTGTTGGCTTCATAATTTTCAGAAAAGATTGTTTCACTTTCCTGCAGTTAAGGGATTGAGTAACCCGCTGAACTGGCTTTTCCTGTAAGTCACGTTACTTATAGGAAAAGCCCGTAATCACGACACAAGCCCTCCTCGGCTTGGCTCCCGGCAGCACCTCCTCTCCTCAGCCGCTGACACTATCGTCATTCATGACTGCATGCTTCACCTCATTGAGCTAATCTTGATGTCCTTTTCAACCCTCAACTATCCTTCAAACCCCACATTCGTGCTGTGACCCTTTCCACCTTCCCACACCTCCGCAACATTGCCTGCCTCCGCCACTGCCTCTCATAGCAGGCCTCCCAGATCCTGATCCATGGCTTCACTACGCCAACTGCCTGCTCACTGAACTTCCCAACTGTTCCCTCCACAAATTGCAGATTATCCAGAACTTCGGCCACGGACGAATAGGGAACGGTGAAAATCTGATGACTATTTCCTGGAAGTTTTTAAACCGACTTTGCCCTGTTCTCCTTCTATTAAAATAGGGCTGCAGGAGGACTTGGATAACAGATTGTTTGGACAGCACATTGCAAGTGAAGTGATTCTAAAGGCTATCAGAGGATTTTTGCGTAATCCTGAGCCGGCTAAGCCTCTCGTCTTTTCTCTACATGGCTCCAGTGGCACTGGCAAAAACTTTATCAGTAGAATAATAGCGGAAAACCTTTACAAGAAAGGCCTGAACAGTAATCATGTTCATCAATTTCTGCCTAAGTTGAACTTTCCGGATCTGGCGCATATTGATAAATACAAGGTAATTGCTTTTCTCTTCTACAGTGTACGTACACCAGTCAGTATTTTCCATGATACTAAGTTTAAAAACTGGTACCATTAGCTTTTTATCAGAAGTAGTTACTCTTTCAATGTACCAAAAGTGTTGTTAGAATGACTTACCACATCAGAAGATGGCTAATAGATCGATGTTGGATTTGAGGAGTAAAATATCTTAATAATTGAATTCAACATGTGATTTCTATTGTATTCCACCAATTCTAATTCCTTACCTTGTGACTCGCTTAGTGACTGTTGTTCATCAGGTCCAAACAGTAATAAACAACATCTCCAGACCAGATTGGTTTGGATGAAGAAGACCCTTCGGCTAATTTCATTCTTTTGACAAACTGCACTTGACAAACTTTGTTGCGGTGATCTGAAGGCATGAGCCCTGTATTTTAGATTTGTAAATACGCTTTACAAGGTTTATAAGGTTTATAAATTTAATTTAGTGAACAGATCATTAACTAAAACATTTGAATCCCCAAAATGTAACAATGCTTTTCTTAAAAAATATAGATTTAGCACAGGGGCAAAGATGTATTTTTGAGGAGAGGGCTTGAAATTAGCATTCGAAGATCTCATTGAACTGTTCCCTGATCGGCTCACAGCTGATAATAATGATGATTTTATAGTCAATCATAATAATTTGGTCACTCAATCCACAGCTGTTTGTGGGACGCTGCTGTGCACAATTGGCTGCCGTGTTTCGCCCACAAAATGTACAGTCAATTCACTTTACAGTATATCCTGTGAAGCGCTTTGACGACATAATAACGGAGTATATCAAATGCAATGATTATTATTAGAAGAACCAATGACCACCAAGTCAAGTGTTGAGCATTGGCTTATATGGCTTTTTGTTAGATGAAAACATTTCTTTTAAATTAATTCTTACTTAATTTTACACAGCAAGAACTGCAGGCGATAATCCAGGAAAGTGTTAAAGCATGTCCCAGGTCACTATTTATTTTTGATGAAATGGACAAAATGCACCCGGAAATCATTAATGTCATCAAACCATTCTTGGACTACAATGATCTAGTCGAAAACGTCAGTTATCGCAAGGCAATGTTCATTTTCTTGAGGTAAGTATGTGTGTTGTTAAGAGTGCTTGTTGTTGATATGCTTCTCTCATTGATGAGCAGGCTCAGTGGGTGTCTGCCTTGCTCTCGTGCCTCCTATGTAATAGGACAACAGAGCAAGCTAGACATGCTTAATAACCTTTTCTCATTCTCTAGCTGACGTACTTACAGTAAACCGCGGTATAGCAATGTGAATTAATAACTCAAATGCTCTTTGTAAATAGTAATGCGGGGGGTGAACAGATAACTGAATTTTTGCTGAATGTTTGGAAGAATGGAAAGAAGAGGGAAGAGGTTCAAATGATAGACCTGGAAAGCACTCTGACCGCGGAAGTCTACAATAAGGAGAACAGTAAGTGTTTTGAACTTTCAGCTCCGGGCTTTCAGGCTCTTTACCTTCACCCTTTGGAATCCCATCCCACAGGTCCGTCTCCAGACCCTCCACCTTGGGTGAGCCTTCAGTCATCCTCCTACCCCTGTCCTTCCTCCACCCCTTCTCATCCCAACCTCCAGCTTGGGTCCAAACCCCTGACTGTCCAGAGCCTTGGGACCTCCTCCCAACGTGAAAGGCGCTGTGTAAATGTCATTTGTTGTTGTAACAAACTTGGCCAATCGCTGATAATCAATCAGTTTCATCAATGTGACAAGTTGCAATTTTTCTTTTACAGGTGGGTTCTGGCGCAGCAACCTTATCGACAACAACTTGATTGATTATTTTGTTCCTTTCCTTCCACTGGAATACAAACACATTAAACTATGTGCAAAAGCCACGTTGAAAGCCAGGGGTTTTAGAACAGATGAAGACACCGCCAGTCAGATAGCAGATGAAATGATCTACTTCCCAAAGAAAGAGAGATTATTTTCAGTAAAAGGCTGCAAAACTGTGAGTGCAAAAGTTGATTACTTCGGAGAACCAAAATGAAATCATCAAGTAAAATTTAAAAAAAAGTTTTAAAAGAATACTTCTAATAACGGAAAGAGGAAGTACGTGGTTTGATTTCTCTCAAAATGTACAACATTTTTCAACTGAGTCTTAATTTTCAAGGTAGCTCTTTTGGCTTCACCACAACAAGACCTACCGCTGCACTCTTGCCTTCTGCCAAATCCTCCTTCTACTCCAAGGTTATCTTGGAGGCAAAGAACACCCCCAGGTTTCTCTTTTCCACCACAAACCATCGCCTCCGTCCACCTTCCCATCGCCACGCTCATCTTCTCCTCAAACTCCAACTCTGAGGAGATGCTGGACTTCCTCGAATCCAAGATGGAGGGGATACGTTCAGCCACTCAGCCCCGTCCACAGCCACCCCCCCCCACATCACCTCTCCCTCATGACCCACTCCCCCACCCATTGCCCCCCATACTCCTTCGACCCTATCTCTCCCTCCTCCCTCACCATGACTGTCCACAAACTCAAACCCACCACCTGTCCACTCGATCCCATCCCCACCTCTCTCGTCTCCCAGCTCCACCTTCTGGCCCCTCTCCTGTCCGACATCATCAACCTCTCCTTGTCCACCGGTTCAGTCCCCACCCCCCTAAAAACATCCGTCATCACCCCCATCTTGAAAAAACCTTCCGTGGACCCATCCCTTCTCGCCAGCTACCGCCCCATCTCTAATCTCCCATTCCTCTCCAAGGTCCTTGAACGAATCATCGCATCCCAGCTCCACTCCTTTCTTTCTCACCATTCCCTCTTTGAACTCCTACAATCCAGCTTCCATGCTGCCCACAGCACGGAAGCAGCCCTGGTCAAAGTCACCAATGACATTCTGAATATCTGTGATATCAGGACTCTCTCTGCCGCCTTCGACACTGTCGACCACTTCATCCTCATACACCGCCTCTCCTCTTTACTTAATCTTCGTGGATCTGCCCTTGCCTGGTTCGATTCTTATCTCTCTCACCGTCTCCACTTTGTTGCCTCCAACGGTTTCTCCTCCAGTCCCTGCACTGTCACGTCTGGCGTCCCGAGGGCTCTGACCTTGGTCCTCTCCTCTTTAATATCTGCATGCTCCCCCTTGGTGACATCATCCGCGGATGTGGGATCAACTTCCATACGTATGCGGATGATATCCAACTCTATCTTCCTGCCTACACCCTCAACTCCAGGACCAATGCTGTCCTGACAGACTGCCTGTCGGACATCAAGTCCTGGATGAGGGCAAATTTCCTACAGTTGAATGTGAACAAGACTGAGGTCCTCCTGATTGGCTCGCGCCAGCGCCTCTACACCTCAGGCCCTGGGAGCATCAACCTCCATGGTTGTGCACTTCAACTCACCGCCAGTCAGGAACCTCGGTGTCTTGTTCGACCCTCAACTGTCTTTTCTTCCCCACATCCAAGCCATGACCCTCTCTGCCTTCCCTCACCTCCGTAACATCGCCCGACTCCGCCACTACCTCACCCCTCAGGCCACTGAAACTCTTGTTCATGCCTTCATCATCTCCAGGCTCGACTGTGCAAACTCCCTGCTTGTCGGCCTTCCCAACTCCTCCCTCCACAGGCTGCAGATAATCCAGAACTCTGCAGTCCGTGTCCTCTCCCGCACCAAACTCTGTGACCCCATCTCCCCCATTCTCGCCCGACTCCATTGGCTCCCTATCCTTCAGAGGATCCAGTTCAAGATCCTGTCCTCACCTACAAAGCCTTCAACGGTTTCGCCCCACCCTACCTCTGCGACCTCCTAACCCCCTACCAACCCGCCCGCTCCCTCTGCTCAGCCGGCTCTGGCCTGCTCCACGTCCCCGACCCACCCGCCCCACCATTGGCGGGAGAGCCTTCAGCCACTCTGCCCCCAACCTCTGGAATTCCATCCCCCAATCACTCCGCCTCGCCCCCTCCTTAGCCTCCTTCAAGTCCGGGCTCAAGACCCTCCTCTTCGACCATGCCATTGGCCACCCCCCTTCCCCTCCCCTCCCTTCTCCCCACCCCACCACCCCGAGCTCAGGTCTGAAATGCTGTTACACTGCCCAGCTCCTTGGGACCTCCTCCCGGCGTGAAAGACGCTATAGAAATGTAATGTTGTCGCTGCTGTTGTATATTCTACGCCTTAAATGGGAAAGCTTGAAGCTGCGTTCTCTGACATTGACACCTTGCACCCGAACGTGCATCATAACAAGTGTGAAAATGATCTTGTCAGACGTCAGCGTTGTGTGTTTCTGCGTCAAAAAAAAAATGGTACTATTTTTTTTCCAGCGGTTTCAATCTACCGCTGCTTCTTCATGACACTATTTACTTGCTGCTGCTTGGTGAAACCTCTAAATATGTGTAAGGAAATTGTAATAAAAAAAATATGCAAGTTGTTGTTGTTGTTGTTGTTGTTTGTGGGGACAGCACGTAATATTAATAATAATCATAATCATTATTTATGACTAATTATAGTTATTACGTGGTCACAATAATCTGAGTCCTGTAGCTCAGTGGTTAGAGCACTCGCTTTGCATAGTGAGAGACCTGAGTTCAATTCCAGGCAGAGGGCGAAACCTTGGGCAAGTTTCCTTACTCCACACAGAGCCTAATAACAATCCCTCCAAAACCAAACAATAATAAATTGGTCATTTTCAATCTACGACTGTTTGTGGGACATCGCTGTGCGCAATTGGCTGCCGCGTTCGCCCACAAATATACAGTCAATTCACTTTACAGTGTGTTCTGTGAAGCGCTTTGAGACGTCCTCCCGAAGTGAAAAGCGCTATAGGAAATGCGAGGATTATTATTATTATTATTATTATTACACAGCCAAGGTAAGGATGGATGGGTGGATGACTCATTGACCACTGACACGTCACTGCCCCGCACAAAGATGGCGGCGGCCGCCGAAGTGGGGGGGGCGGGGCCTGACGGCGGGAAGTGCGGGAGGAGGGGAGCCAGCGGGGCGGAAGTGACGCCGCGCCGCTTCCGGTCGGCTCCCCGCCGCGTCTCCGGTGTCGGTGAGGAAAAGCGATGAGGCCTTTCCACCCCCCGCACCTCCTCCCCGTCCTCCTCCTCCTCCTCCTCCCGCCGCCGCCGCTGACGCGCGCCATGGAGCCCATCAGCATGGGCATCGCCGTGGGGGTGGCCACGGCCCTGACGGGGCTGCTCAGCTCCTACCCCAGGCTGTACTGCCACCTCCAGGAGTGCTGCGCGGCCCAGTGGGTGGAGCTGAACTACACAGGTGACTGACAACCCCACACACACACACACACCCCCACACACAGCCCCCCACACCCCCAAACACCCCTCCACACACAACACCCCCTACCCACACACACACACAACCTACACACCCACACACACACAACCCCACACACCCACACACACACAACCCACCCCCACACACACACCCCCCCACACACACACACCCCCCCACACACAGCCCCCCCCACACACACAACACCCACACACACACACAACCCACACCCCACCCCCCACACCCCACACCCCCACACACACACACACCCCACACACAGCCCCCCCACAACCCAAACACACCCCCACACACAACACCCCCCCCCCCACACACACAACCCACACACACACACACAACCCCCCCCCCCACCCACACACACACAACCCACCCCCACACACACACACAACCCACACACACACACCCCCCCACACACAGCCCCCCCACACCCCCAAACACACCCCCACACACAACACCCCCCCCCACACACACACACAACCCACACACACACCCCCCCCCCACACACACACAACTCCCCCCCCACACACACACAACCCCCCAACACCCCCACCCCCCACACACACACCCCCCACACACACACCCACACACACATAACTCCCCCCCCCCCACACACACACACCCACACACAACCCCACACACCCCCCCCCACACACACACCCACACACACAACCCACACCCACACACACAACCCCCCCAACACACACCCACACACACAACCCCCCCCCACACACACCCCCCCCCCACACACACACACCCACACACAACCCCCCCCCACACACACACACACAATCCCCCACACACACAACCCCCCCCCCACACACAACCCCCCCCCACACACACACCCCACACACACAACCCCCCCCCACACCCCCACTCCCCCCCACACACACACACAACACCCCACACACACAACCCCCCCCACACACCCCCCCCCCACACACACAACCCCCCCCCACACAACCCCCCCACACACAAACCCCCCCCCACACACACACAACCAAGGTGACCAACTACATATATATATGTAGGTGAGACCTACATTCTGGTTAAACTGAACCTGGCAACTCGGGTGCTGCACTAGTGACAGCATTCAAACTACTGTGTGCGTCAAGCGGTGTTGATTGAATAATAATACAACCACGACAACATTATATTTGTAATAGCGCCTTTCACTTCGGGAGGTCATCCCGAGACGCTGAAGAATAATAATCATATTACTATTAATAATCCTCGCATTTTATACAGTGGCCGATCACGTCGTCGAGACGTCTCAAAGTTTTGCAGGAGACGCACACTATACACTGTCAAGTGAATCGACTGGATGTTTTGTAGGCGGAAACCACAGCAGTCCGTCGCGCGTGTCAGTGTCCCGCAAACAGCCGTGGATTGCAGTGACCAATTTACTATGATAGCATTCAAACTGCTGTATGCTACTAGCAGTGTTGATGGAGAATAAGTGGCTCAGTAGTGTGATATTCATGTGATTTTACTTAATATGTGGCTGGTGGAAGTACCTTTAAATTGGCTTAATGGTAAAATTCCACCTATAACTTTTATTCTATTTCCATAAACAGGGTTGGAGCGAGATCTGGAAGAGAAATTGTTTGGACAACACGTTGCAAAACACGTGATACTGAAAGCAATCAAAGGTTTTTGGAACAATCCTAACCCCAAGAAACCCCTCACATTGTCTCTTCACGGCTGGACTGGGACAGGCAAAAACTTAATGAGTAAATTAATAGCTAAGAACATTTATGCAAAGGGATTGGACAGCAAGTATGTTCATCAGTTTGTTACTACTCTGCACTTCCCTCATTCGGAGCACACCAGCCAATATAAGGTAATGGCAGAGCGAGGCGTGAATTGCTTAATGTTGTTCTGTTAAATCATTGCATTCTGATGATGGAAAAAACAAAGATCACGGAGAACAGTGGTGCGTGTGGGTGATGTACAGGCTGTAATCTAATGAGTGGTTTAGTGGTGTTTATGTAGAACGCTAATTACCCAGGAGATTGTAATCTAATCAAGGGTTTCACATGATGTTACAATCTGCAAGAACTGTGATGGATTTTAAATTCATGGCCTGTGGTACCCCACCACCTGCAAGCACTACCTCACATTCCCAGTGAGAAATTGTTCACTCAATCCACGACTGAGTCTGTAGCAGAGAGCACCTGCTCTTGTACTCCACTGCTGTAAAATAGAGGTTGGCACATTGTAAATAGCTGTGCAGAGAGGGGTGGGTTTAAAAAAGGACTATTGCTTGCGTATTTAAAAGTAACATTACTTTCCCCACCTCAGGAGCAGCTCCAGAAATGGATTCGAGGTAACATCACAGCGTGTGAAAGATCCATGTTCATTTTCGATGAAATGGACAAAATGCAGATGGGCCTTATCGATGCCATCAAGCCTTACCTGGATTATTACGATAACATTGATGGAGTGGTGTACCGGAAAGCCATGTTCCTTTTCCTGAGGTCGGTCTGTGTTTCTTTATCCTCATATTGGGTAGGCTGTGTCAGTGATGTGCTACAGAGGTTATGGGGGTTTGAGTCCCATTACAGTGCAGTTGTTGCTCAACTTCAGCACTGAGGGAGCGAGTGCTGCATTGCTGGAGGAATTGTCTTTTAGAATGCAACATTAAATGAGGCTCGATCATCTTAAAGATCACATTTAGTACTGAGACGTTGGTGTAGTAAGGACAGTATTCGCTGTAAAGATCTCATGGTTCCATTCAAAAAGAAGAGGGAGTTGTTCCTGGTGCCCTGGCCAACAATCCATCAAGTAAAATTGGTCACTCGCTCTACAGCGGTTTCTGTGGTATTGCTGTGTGCAAATTGGCCGCTGCATTTGCCCACAAAATGCTCAGTCACCACTTTACACTATATCCTGTGAAGCACTTTCGAGACATCTCAACATCATAAGGCGCCGTACCAAATGATAGGATGATTATTATTGTTAGCTCTTGCACTATTTGGAAGAACCGAGCAGGGAGTTATCTGCATTTTCTTCAAATTTATTCTCAAAGTTTGCCAAAAATGATATTAAAAGGTCAATTGTCTTACTTACCTGCCCGTACCCTCCGTTCCTACTTACCTGCCCATAGCCTCCCTCCGTTCCTCTGGCTCTGGTCTGCTCCACATCCCCCGCCCCAACCGCCCTACCATCGGTGGCCGGGCCTTCAGCCTCTCAGCCCCGAGGCTCTGGAACTCCATCCCCCAGTGCCTTCGCCGCTTCCTCCCTTTCCTCCTTCAAGGCCGGTCTCAAGACCTTTCTCTTTGACCGAGCCTTCAGCTCCCCTCTCGACTCTCTACCCCCTCCTCGCTCCGTCCCTTCCCTTCACCATTTCCCCCCAATGCTCGGGTCCTGACACAACTGTCCAGCACCTTGGGACGTCCTCCCGACGTGAAAGGCGCTCTATAAATACAATGTTGTTGTTGTTGTTAATTGTTATTTGTGGTGTGTTGGGCGAATTGGCCGTCATGTTTGGAGTGCAATGACCATTGTGCAGTGAAAATAGCTCATTGTATAAAGCGCTTTGACATATCTTGCTATAGTAAGGCATTGTGTCAAATGCAATATTTAATTATGTGATGAGTTAAGAAATTTAGCCAATAGAAAAAAATCCCTTTTCCTGTTGAATCTGATTAGAGCTCTACCATTGACATTGCAGGGTGTTTGAAAAGATTTAATAATGTGAAAATATACCTTATTATTTTGTGACTCAATATAAGGGATGTGAATGCGGTTTATAGCGTATGATTTTGTGTTTATTTTTGGTCAATAGCAATGCGGGAGGTGAGAAGATAACCGAGGTTACACTAGATTACTGGCATAAAGGAAACAAAAGAGAGGACATTAAATTGAAAGACCTTGAAACCAAACTGTCCGTGGGAGTCTTCAATAACAAGAAGAGTGAGTGTGTGTGTGTGTCATTGTTGTGCTGAGGGTGCTGCAACCAATTGAATTTACTGTTAATGCTATTAATAAGGTAATATAATCCTTGCATTTGATATAGCGCCTTATCACGTCATTTGAGACGTCTCAAAGCGCTTCACAGAATATACTGTAAAGTGAATTGACTGTATATTTTGTGTTGTCAAAAATATATGTTAAATGTATGTCACAGCTGTAACACATACCTCAAAATTGCACAACACTCCAAACAGATTATATCAATCAAAAGACAAAATACTGCAGATGCTGGAAATCTAAAATAAAAATAGAAGTGGCCGGGAGCACTCAGCTCACGCAGCATCTATGGATGGAGGGAAATGAGTTAACATTTCGAGTTGCTGACCTTTCGTCAGAACTGGGGGATGTTGGAAGGGACCCCTCTTCTATAATCATTGAGTCTTAGACGCATAAAGGGGCTTAGATCTCCCACTGTTGCTTTCTTATGTCTTGCACCATCAACCACCTCTAATCTCGTCCTCTTGTCCTCCACCTAAATTTTTCCTGTCTTTCTTTCCCCGCCCTCTTCTTTGCTTGTCCTTATAACCTGCTCCCTTCCAACACCCCCAGTTCACCTGTTTGAATGGACCCGCCTTATTTTTGGGGAATTGGTAGATGCACTGCCACTTCATAGTGCAGCAAATCACATGAAATTCAAAACTTTATTGAGAAACTTTGCCCGCTTATGACGGCTTTTAAGTCCAGGAGAGACTTATAAATTGATAAGTGTATCGTACTGTATTGTTCACAGGTGGGTTCTGGCACACCAGCCTCATTGACAAAAACCTGATCGACTACTTTGTGCCTTTCCTGCCCCTGGAATACAAACACGTGAAGTTGTGCATCAGGGAAGAACTGATTTCCAGGGGTTACCCAGTGGACGAGGACATCATTAATGACATAGCCAGTGAGATGACGTATTTCCCCAAGAACGAAAAGATCTTCTCAGACAAAGGCTGTAAAGCCGTAGAAGCCAAGATATACTTTTACTTGGAATGAAATGAACTTGTTTCAGAGGTGCAAACCCTTTGCTGATCCCCCGATGAGAAACTTTTTAAACGTGAAGCAAATCGTGTTTGTAGTATTGTACATTTTCTGTATATATTGACAATTGTGAAATTAACTATGAAGGAGGAGTGATTGTTGTAAGTATTGATTCCACGCTGGACCAACTTGCCTTCACAGGCTCAAAATTGATCCTAGTGTCAATATTAAGTCTACTGCTTGTTACCTCTTGCTCCATTAATCGTCTATTGGCGTTCCTGTACAAATTAATACTACTTTTTTTTAAAAAAGCCAAAATTATCAGAATGCCAGTGATCAGGAGTTGCAGAATCTACTCAGCACTGTTGTCGAAGTCTAAGGTCCTATCGTCTCGAGTAAAAATCCAGAATGCAGCTTCCATCATTCACAACTGTCGCAGCCTATCTCAGAGTTGCAGGAGTAGGATTATTTGTTGAGGCGAGGCTGTGGAGGTTTAATTTGGTTATCAAATAAATGCAAAGTGTTCCATTTCTAAGTTATGCTCAATGTGGGGGGGGAAGGGATACAGCAAGTCTGTCCACAAATCCTTTTGAGACTGTTTCAGCTTTCTTTTTTGCGGAACATTTGAGAACGTGATTTCCTCTCGCTTCTTAATGATGATTTGAATTAAAGAACAGAAATGAAATGTAAAAAATAATCTTCCCGTACAAAATTGTTTAAACAATCTTTGGAACATAAAGAAAGAAAAAGTGACAGTCTTCACAGGATTAGCTTGTAATTGTTTTCAGCAATTTGTACCGTACAGAATTAGACATTCTTTCAGGCAAATGGCAGAAAGCCCTTTTGTGCCATATTGCGATAGGGGTACGAATAATACAATATGAAGTGAAATAGACTGTGTAAAGCTTTTATACTAACTGCAAACACTTTTTTTTAAAATCCAGAATTTTCACTGTTTTTAAAGAAAGTTAAGCTTTCTTTTAAAATAAATTTTAATTTGTGGAATCACATGTTTTACATTTCAGGCTACTATGAGAGAATTTCTCAGGTGATTGCAGGAGTTTTATTACATTTGAAATCACTAATGTGTGTTAAAGTACCTCCACCTGGTGGACTTTCCTCTCTTCTGCAGCTCGACATTGAAGTGAAATTTGCAGCCGGGGATTCCACCGTGGTTCTCACAAATGACATTTGTATAGCGCCTTTCATGTCAGCAGGACGTCTCAAGGCGCTGGACAGCCAGGGATCCACACCTGAGCTGGTGGTTGGGATCAGGAGGGGTGGAGAGAGGGCAGGAGGGTGATCGAAGCTATGGTTGAACAGGAGGGTCTTGAGATGGGTCTTGAAGGAGATATAATAATCTTTGCATTTGATATAGCACCATATCACATTGTTATGGTCTCACGTCTCAAAGCGCTTCACAGGTTATACTGTAAAGTGAATTGATTGTATATTTTGTGGGCGAAATGCAGCAGTCAATTGCGCACAAACAGTCGGGGAGTGAGTGACTGATTTTTTTTGAAGGAATTATTATTTGGTTTATCCAAATCTATGGTAAATTTTGTTTAGTCTCTTTCCTGAAGGGTGAGGAGAAGGAGTCATCGAAGTTTCCCTCCAAAAATTCAAACTGCAGTACCGCCTTGTTTTAATACAAATGGTCTATTTAATACAAAGGGATCAGAAAGGATTAAATGCTGATGCTTTCACACAATCATGTCATCCAACCCTTTAGTATCTTCTGCTCATTTTCTTGAACTTCTCGTAATGGTAGTCATCAGTTGCCTTCTCGTTCGAAGGACGTTTGCGATTCGGAGGAGATTCTGTGCAACACACAAGTTTGTTTATGCACATATATATATATATATATCATACACATTTACATAGAGGCAGTTGCAGAAATTGTTGACCACCTTTTGAAAACGTTATTCAATTTTTTAAACAATTAAACAAGGCTTGGGGACCCCAGGATGTGTGTTTAGGTACTGCTGGGGTTCAATCGGCTAAAGGCATTGAGAATACTACCTGGCAAGTTTCCCACTGCTTGGCCGTTAGGGCTTTGTTTGTTTCTTCTTTCCAGGGTTAACTGGAAAGAATGCCTGCTCCCAGGGACAAGTCTGCCCCTCCATCGGCAACAATTTTTTTCTGTTCACCCTTTCTTTGTGGGGGGCGGGGGGGGGGAGTGGAGGTGGGGGGGCAGGGAGATCACCAAACACTATCCCCTCTCCTTGGTGTCTGCTATTGCTGCTCTACAGTCAGCTGTTAGAAATACCACAAGCCTCGCGCACATGGAATAGCCCCTTTTGTCGGGCTTGTTTGCAGGTTTCTCCACAGCAGGATTCACACGAGCAATTGCAGTTACCCCATTTAATTCCCCTCATAACAAAGTAAAATTTAAAAAAAAGAGGCTGAAAATATCAGATGAAAACGTTCGATAGCATATATCATCTGCTACTGTGACAAGTGTTGAGTGCAACTTACGATCGGGTTCGGTTTTTTCGGTGTCTCCCACTCGCAGGGGCTTTGGTTTGAGCTCCTCCTTATGGCGTCTTGCAGGTGCATGAATTTCTTCACGATAGACTGGAATACAATACAATAAGGAACAATAAATCTGATTCCACCAGGCTTAAAAAGCCACTTCCGTGTTTATACCAGATTTCCAGCATCTGCAGTACTTTGCCTTTGCTTTTTCTTAATCACTGCAGTAGTTTAATCGTGAAAATGTTCGGCCCCACCTCAAACCTCTTGGGCTAAATAAAACCAGGAAGAGTGAAATGCACTTTCTTCCAGCAATGAAAATACCCGTTACAGAGAGGCCCCTGATAATCGTGTCCATCACTTTTACTGAGATATAGATATAGATACATATATATATATAAAACAGTGCTGAAGAAACTTCTCTTCCTCCCCAATCAAAGAACAAGCAACATTAACCCACCATCAAAACAAACCAAACAAAGAACAGAACCCTCCCACCACCAGAGCCCAGCCCAGCCAGTGGTGTTAACAGTTCAACCCAATTTGGAATGAATGGGTTCTTCAGGACAGGTGTTCACCACGTGGGTCAAATTGCAATGTCGAAACACACCCAACAACTTGCTTTTACATAGCACCCTTCACGCAGGATAGCATCCTGGAGTGCTTGGTCACGGCACACACGTGCACTTACACCGATTGTGCTGGACATAGTTGACGGCGATGTTGGTGGGTACGAATGAGGTGGCGTTGTCTTTCTTTTTGTTGCGTTGCTCGGCCAGAAGCTGTGCCTTTGCCTCCTCGGTGCTGATGATGTTTTTGATCTTTGCACTTTGACGAGAGAAAAGCAAGCACTCATTAGCCCCGGCAAACGCAATTCGAGCGAGAAACAAAACACTGTAATGCAGGACCTGTTTAATGAGGGCTCTTCAAGGCCGCTGAATGCTGTCAGCTTTAGTGCAACACCATTAGACGTCCAATAGAAGAATCTCCAATGAGGTCTGCACACAAAACCATAATTTACCATGTGCCTTTAAAATGTTTCCTTAAATGTATTTCGAGAGACAATAGGATTGAGATATACTGGAATTTGTCTAGTATATACAGCATTACATGGCTTGTACTGTTAATAATTTCATATTAGGCTGAAGTAAAATATTGTCCACATCATCAACTGGGTATCCCAGCTCTGCTGTACTTTGCTCTGGCTAGTTTCAGTTTAAATGCGATTACAATTGAACTGCAGGTAAATGATATATTTACTCTATCCCCAGGTCCACTTCGGGAATGCCACTCAGCATCTGATTAGATAACATTTCCTCCGTGCGCTTGGCTGAGGAGACATTGATGTTGTCGGGCAGCTCATAGAGCATATCCTCTGGGTTCTTGATCTTGACCTTCTGTTCCTCATTCTCCAGGATCCCCTTCCTCCTCTTTAGCTCTGTCTCAATATACTTCATCCTGATGCAGAAGAAATGAAGGTTACTCTCCAATACAGAGTAAATGCCGGTCAGTCTCCAATAGGGAGCAATTAGTTACCATGTCAGAAAAATCTGGTTGACTAGTCGTAACTCATAATAGGTTCTTCAACGTTTTAGGTTTTGGTCACTACTCAAATCCGGGGACATAATCAAATCTCAGATTCTCCATTTCACAAACATGGCAGGCTGAAATGAAAATTAGCTGACCAATTAGCTAACTCTCACCCTAACCCATCCCTGTCTTGTAGACATTTCTTTCAAAACACTTGTTAGCAAAAAAATTATTATTATATAAACCTTTAGGAAAAATAAACTATTTTCCCTAAAGGTTTATATAATAATCCTTGCATTTGATATAGCGCTTTTCACGTCTTCTAGACATCTCAAAGTGCTTCACAGAATATACTACAAAGTGAATTGACGGTATATTTGGGCGAAACACGGCAGCCAATTGCACACAGCAATGTCGCACAAACAGTTGTGGATTGAAATCACCAATTTTATTAGGTTTACTTCCAAAGAACCATTTTATTTGAAATTGCCTCATCTTCAACCTTTCTTCCCTCATTTCCTTTTAGCTCTCTATCAATTTTATCTTACAACCTTGACCGATGTTCTTGGTGATGCCCTGTATTTCTTAAACATAATTAAAACTTACAGTCATCCTGACCAAGCAGCTAGACTGCCAATCAGATTTTTTCTTATGAGCCACAAAGAGTAGGTGGACTTTAAGTAACTTTTCCTGGCCTTGGGAATGCCCTACATGGACATAACAGATCCATAGGGTTTTACACCAGTTTACTTTTAATGTAAGGCGAAGATTTAATAGACTGCTTCCATTTCATAACCGGACAACACAAGTCTGTACATACATGTCAGCATCCTCGTCCCGCCGGTTTGTCTCTACTGAGAATGAGGTGCCCAGGTTCAGGTCAGTCTCCTCTTCTTCGACCCTGAAAAAGAAAACATTTACTGGCACCAAAGATTTCTAAACATCCCCATTTCTATGATAAGAAGAATCCATAACCGTATCAAAACCAACTCAAACTCACGTGGGCCTTTGAATTATTGGTATTCTGCTGGACTTCTGTGCCCCACAGTCGCCTTTCTGTACCACAGTTAAACGTACACAGAGATGGCGCTTTGGGTCAGAGAAAGTTGTGCAACTAAGGCAGGAGGCTGGAGGAATCACATATGTGCCACAGAATAGTTCACACCCACATCCTGCTTCCAGCCCTCTCAGTTCCAGCGCACTCGGTCTCAGCACTCAGACATGCACTATTGGACAGTGAATCTGAGCTCCTCTCAGGGAAGTAATCAGCCCAGGCTGCTAGGGGGCTCTTCACATCTACCTCTTCTCGATTATTGTTGGGAGAGAAAATTTGGGTACAGATTGCTGGCCAACCCTCTTGGACATATAATTCTTATGAATATGAAGGCGGGAGAGGTAAAACCTTCAGACAGATGAAGGGGTAAAAGTATTAAATGGTGCCAGAAATATCACAGATTTAGGTTTAGCAAGTATTCAACATAAATTAATTCATGGGGGGTATTTTAATTTCTCATTTAAGTTTTATTACCGTTTTCTTATCTTTATGGATAAGCATTGAACAGAAAAATCCCTTAACTAGTTGTTATTTGTTATATAGGAATAATGTGGGTGCTTATGGTTTCAGCACTGCTGATATGCACTTATCCACTATTACTCACGTGTGACCACTGACACACTTGTTTCGAAAGGTAGAAGAGGTATTTGTCATTTTAACTTTTTTTTGTTATTTTTCTGCTTTCTAACCTTTCTCGGTTTCTGTCCTTAATCTTCTTCATATCAATCATTCCTCCAGTCTTCAATTTAAAGGGATCGTCCTGTGCAAATAAAAGATTGTGTATACATGATTAGCTGTAACAAATGTAGAAATGCGTGCCCAGTGAGAAAACATATCAAGGGCCCAGTGAGAGGATTAGACCAAAAGAACGCATCAGCAATTGTCAAATAATAGTTACCAGTCACAATAACTAGTATAATATTCAGACAGATTAATCTGCATTTTAGAAGCAATTATACCATTTAATAAATATTTGTGGGACACTGCTGTGCGCAATTGACTGCCACGTTTCACCCACAAAATATACAGTCAATTCACTTTACAGTATATTCTGTGAAGCGCTTTGAGATGTCTCGAAGACGTGATAAGGCGCTATATCAAATGCAAAGATTATTATTATTACCAACGTACCACAGTCGAGGCTTCTTCTGGCGTTTTCTCCCCAACAAGCAGGGCGGCAGCACTGTAACAGGCAATTAAAAACAATAGGGAACAGAGATCAAGGACAATACAACTAAACTTGAGAAGCCAAGAAAGAGTCCATTTAGAACAGATGCAGAAGAATTTTCTGACATCTGTAAAAAGGCATTTATTTATTCTTTCAAAACAGCTTTGCATCAATGATGTAATTTGTAACAATAATTAAATTATTAACAATCGTTAATAATTTTCTACAATTACTTTAAGGTTTACTGAGATTACTCTACACAAAAAGTTTTAATGCTGAGCATTAGGCAATGCCTACTGTGCCAGCCCTACATACCTCACACCATTTTGTCTTCTCCTCATACTCTGAATTTCTTTTAGTTCATCTAGCTTTGACCTGTAGAAAGAAAATACACAGTCACTGCACTTTACATTATATCCTGTGAAGAGTTTTGAGATGTCTCAACGGCGTGGTAAGATGCTGTATCAAATGCAAGGAATAGTATTATTATTATTATAAAGAAAGGTTACTAGCGGGATTCTGAAAAGCTACTTTAAAAATAATTATTGAAACAAAGTTCATGATACTCAGAATAAAAAAAACCTACATTTTACATAAACTAAACCATTTAATAGAAACTAAATACAACAACAACAACAGGCAGGGTAGCATCTCAGAGCTAAAAGGGCTAAAACGCTGAAAAAGGGGAGTGAGGGGGAAAGGCGGAGGGATTGAGGGAGAGTTTTCCAGAGTTTAAGCCACTATAATATGTATCACTCTTATCATTGAGGAACACAGAACCTTTAAAACACGCTTCGCTTATAGATTACATCACGGAACTCTGATGAACTCCACTGCTTTTCCGGGAGCAGTGTCGTGTCATCTGGTCCCATATTCGGCTCATCCAATGAAACGTAAAAAAAGTAATCTCTTAATCTAATGTCCTGGCAGCTTTACCAGTTTCCCTTTTAATCTTTCTGACTGAAAGTAGCAAATTTGGAGCAAGGAACCTAAAGGCCGTTAAGAATAAAAAAGCATTTGCAATTTTTTTCTTCTGTGGGGGCTCTGTATTCACCCACTTTCTGCAACACTGACTGAAGGGATCCTTCATACTAATACAGGAGGAGTCCTGTAGCTCAGTGGTTAGAGCACTTGCTTTGCAAGCGAGAGACCTGGGTTCGATTCCCGGCAGAGGGCGAAACCTCGGGCACGTTTCCTTACTCCGCACAGAGTCCAATAATAATCCCTCAAGAAAAAAAAACAATAATAAACTAGTCACTTCAAACCATGACTGTCTGTGGGACATTGCTGTGCGCAATTGGCTGCCGCGCAAAATATACAGTCAATTCACTTTACAGTACACTCTGTGAAGCGCTTTGAGACGTCCAGAAGACGTGAACAGTGCTATATCAAATGCGAGGATTATTATTATTATTATTATTATCTTCTCTGAGCCCGGATACAACGACGACGACAACAACAACAAAATGACACTTAGAGAGCGCCTTTCACGTCGGGAGGACGTCCCAAAGCGTCGCCCACAAAACCCGCGGGCGCTGCGCTTCACAGTGTCGGCCCCACCGAGCGCTTCCGCGACATCTCGAAGGCGCTGCGTCAAATAGATGATGATGATGATTGTTATCAGAAGCGAGTGAGCAGCCAGGCCTGAGCTGTGTGAGTGGGGGTGGTGGGGGTGGGTGGGGGAGTGGGGGGAGGGGAGGTAGTGGGGGGAGGGGAGGGAGTGGTGGGGGAGTGGGGGGAGGGGAGGGAGTGGGGGGAGGGGAGGGAGTGGTGGGGGAGTGGGGGGGGGAGTGGGGGGGGGAGTGGGGGGGGGGAGTGGGGGGGGGGGAGGGAGTGGGGGGTGAGTGGGTGAGGAGGGGGAGGGGAGGGAGGTGGGGGAGGGGAGTGGTGGGGGAGAGGAGGGGGAGGGGAGGGAGTGGGGGGGAGAGAGTGGGGGGAGGGAGTGGGGGGGGAGGGGGAGGGGAGGGAGTGGGAGGGAGTGGGGGGGGAGGGAGTGGGGGGCAGTGACTCCCGCTCCTCTCACCTGACCATCACAGTTGTCTGCTCGTCTTCTTCATCCGACTCCTCCAGTCTCCTCCGCCTGTAGCTCTTGCCGGACGACATCCTCTTCTCTGCCACAGACGGCTCCGACTCACAACAACGCCACCGCTCGGTCACCGCGGGCCGGACTGTAATTGCTGCGAACCACCTCCCACCCCTTTTCCGCTCTGGGCGCCGATTGGTCAGTGGGGTGGGGTTGGGGGGGGTGGGGGGATGTATTTGCCGTCGGACCCTTTGTTTACTTCCGCTCCGCTGACGCCAGGTTCCGCCAGACTACACCCCCCACAGTGCACCGGGGCCTCACTCGCTCTCGCCCAGGTCGGGCTGCCCAGCCCGGTGGTTGACGGGTAATGTAGTTCAGAACCCCATCCTCTCCTCTGTCCAAATGCTGCTGGCAGAGCTGCAGCCAGTGCAAGATCATCATAATAATAATAATAATAATCCTCGCATCTGATGCAGCGCCTGATCGCGTCAACCAGACGTCTCGAAGCGCTTCACAGCACAGACTGTGAAAGTGAATTGACTGTGTATATTTCGTGGGCGAAACGCAGTCGGGTGAAGGCTGGAGAGATCAGGTTTCTAGGATGAAATTGTATTCTTCTTGACCCTCTCTGCGAGTCGCGCTCCAAACTGCTTATCCAGTCCATCGTTAAGACTACTCCCCCCCCCCCCCCACCTGCTTAAACCCTTACCTGAAATCCCCATTTACGCCTTTCGCCACACTTTCCTGACGCGCTCTGTGTCAGCTTTCCGTGCCCTGCCCTCTTGTCAGCTCAAAGCTCGAAAGGGGTAACGGGGCAAAGGGCCGGGTAATCGGGAATCGAGGCACAGATCGGCCACGAGCTAACAGAACGGCGCAACAGGCTCGCAGGTCTGAACGGCCTCCTCCTGTCCCTATCTACCCGCGTGCCTATGTTTCCGAAGGTACCCGTCTGAAGACCCCCCTCTTCGACCGGCGCCTTCGGTCACCCGCCAACCTCCAACCCCCTCCCGGCCGTCCACCCCCTCCTGACCCCAACCACCAGCTCGAGTGCGGATCCCCTGACCGTCCAGCGCCTTGGGACGCCCTCCTGATGTGAAAGGCGCTTTAGAAATGTAATTTGTGGTTGTTGTTGTTGTTGTTATTGTACCTGTCAGTAGACCCCACCCCCACCCCCGCCATGTTTTATGAACCTCCCTTCCCCCTCCCCCCCTCGCCCCGCCCCCCCCCCCTGGGTGACCCTACGTCACAGAGAGCGCTCTATTGGTCAGCGGCGTGGAGTCCGCTCACGTGACCCTCGGCTCCCAGCGCGCACTGCGCGCGCCTCGAGGGGCCAAGATGGCGGCGGCGCGGCGGCGGCGGCGGCAGTAACCGTCCCCGCGGAGAGAGAGAGAGAGAGAAAAAAAAACCATTCGCAAACGGTCGGCGGGAGGGAAAGGGGGAGAGAGAGAGAGAGACACACACACACACGGCGCTGCCGGTTACTCGGGGGCGTTGGGCCCCAGTCAGAGGTAGGGCATCGTTATGAATAACTTGCATAGGTTTTATCCCCGTCAATAAAGCCGCATTCCTCCCCCTCCCCCTCCCCCTCTCTCTCTCTCTCGCCCTTTTAACCCTCCTCACAGCGACAGCGTTTGTGGATGTTGATCTCTTTCCCCCCCCCCTCCCCCCCCCCCTCCTCCCCCCCTCCCCCCACTCTCCTCCTTCTCGAAGGTGCATCGAAACGCTGTCAGGCGGCCTTACCCCCTTCTTTCCTCCCTTCCTCGTTGTTGTTGTTGTCACACCTGCCTTTCAGAACCCTCCTGAGCGTTCTTCCTCGACTTTTATTTAGGTGTATATGTGTGTGTGTGTGTGTGTGTATTTATTTACTTATTTGTCTCACAACAAAAATAACCGCCCGCCTGCCCGCCGTCTGGTCTCGCCCGAATGTCGCGCAGACCGAGCACGTCGTCCTGACTTGACACTTGGAGCTCGAGCCTCCCGTTTCTCGTCGGGGGCTTCGATGCGTTTTGCCGGAAAGGTCGGTTTGACGGGATCGGCTTCAGCTTTCGAGGAGCCGGGAGGGCCACCGAAGTGTGGATTGATTTACTCCCCTGACGTGCAGTCAGTCTGACTTGACCGAATTTGCGTGATCAGCCCGAAGAAATGGGTGCACGACTGCAGTGATCTGCCACAATGTCTCCCCCTTCCTTCTCTTCCCCTCCCCCCCCCCCCCGTTGTTTTGACATCGCATTTCCCCTAATACAGTATAAATAGCAGAGCTCCAGTTTCAATACAGGGGTTCGGATTTGATATTAGACTTAGAATTGCATGTCTGTTTTCATGCATACTTCTTTGGTTGACTACATGTCAACTGCAGCGGGCAAGTGAACTGGCCCCAGGCCTTTCCTACCAGCTATTATAATAATAATAATAATAATAGTCAGAATAATGTGAATGTCGGTTTTCTTTCCTGCTCTGCAAATTGACTGAAATCAAGACACAGGCATCATGGGGTTAATGTATACTCTTTTCGCTCCTGCATCAGATATTTGTGCTCACTGGCCTGTCAGTAAGTCAAGCCGGTTCTAACGCAGGTGACTGAAAAAAATGTTGTTATGATACTCGTTTTTTCGAAGGGATCTGTGTATAGGGAGCATTCAATATCACTGTCAACACTAATGGTTGAGATGACATAGAACTTTTACAGCACCGAGAAGGCCATTTGATCCATCATATTTGGCCATATGATAATTTTGCCTCAAAAAGGGCGCTTAGATTCATGGTATACAGTATTTTATTGGAAACTAAACTTTTGTGTCAACTACTTACTCTAGTTTATAATTTTTTTTCAAAAATGCTGGAAACTGACAATGGGTAAATATCAGCAATTGAGAGAAAATAGGATGGTGTTTTGGGGTGACCTCTGAGCATGAAGATTATTTTTTGAAATAATCTCTTTTTGTCTCTGGTTTATTATCAATTTTGAAAGGACAATTTTCATTGCTAACTTTTTTTTAATTAAACTCTCCTGCAGTTTGGGAAGATGTCTGATGCAGCTGATATCTGCCCTCATCTGGATTCCATAGGCGAAATCACCAAGGAAGAACTGTTACAGAAATCTAAGGTGAGAGGATCGCTGGCCTACATCGAGGACACCTTGATTCATGTTTCAATTCCAGATGTGCAGCATTACACAACAAGTAGCACAATTCAGATGTGCAGCTTGTGCAGGTGGATTACTGTCCGCAACAGCCATTGTCCAACTGGATATTGTATCAGTGTCCCTAAAGTGTGCGTTGCTGGAGTTTAACCAGCTAAAACCACGTAGCTTGCCATTGTAGCAATTCCAGATGTACAGCATGTGCAGGTAAATACTGTATACAGCAGTCATTGTCCGACTGGGTACTTGTATGAGTGTTGGGGCTGATAACGCTTAGTGTTTATTGAGAAAAGGTGAGAGAAAAACCAAGTAAACTGTTTTCAAGCATGTTTATTAAATAAGGATTGTGTGCAGTAATGATTGACATTTGTGCTACAATTGTATTTTCTATGGTCAGCCAAGTATCTGACATGTGGAAACCCATCACCATGTCTAAGAGTGTTCAAACCATTCAGAATTCCGTTTATGTAACGCACTTGCATGGGGAAATCTCCTTGTGTTTCTGGAATGGAATGCACAGTTTCTCCCTGGAGGGATGCACCTTATTTATCTAACTTAGGTGCAGGTTGCCAAGGGACAAGGCTTGGCGTCCCTCAAGTGTGTGTTGGGTTACTGCTGGAGTTTAACCAGCTAAAACCGCTCAGTTTGCCATTGGGAGCATCGTGTGCCAAGCTTCCCGCTGCTTGTCCAGCAAGGACCACCCTATCTGTTGGGACTTTGGTCTTACCTTTCAGCCAAACTGGCTAGTCTGTTATCAGCAGTCCCCTGGAGTTCTGTGCTCAGGAACCGGACTACCCAGAGTATCACAGAATATTGTCTTGATTCAAACATTCTGTTGTAGTCAACTTGGAGCCAGCCAAGGTGGTTCCTGCAGTTATAATAATAATAATCCTTGCATTTGATATAGCCGTTGGAGGTGCAGAACCTGAACAGCAGTTGTTTACCTCTCTGCATACCAAACAAGCTCTGGATATACGATTCTGAGTTTCCTTATCAGCTTTTTGCCAGACACCTGATTTTGGTGCCGTAGGAGGACCTTTTCAGGACAATGTTGTTAGTGTGGCTCAGAATGATTTGGGTTTTGTTGCTATATTACCTCAATTCTCCATCCCATCCTTTTTTTCCTCCCTCCCCTTATCTCCTTGACGTCTGTACATCCTGGAAGTACAGAAGCCAAGGAGGTTTGTGTGCTCCTTTTCTTGTAGCAATGCCATACCAAGCCATCTAATGAGAGATGTGTAAGAGGGGGTCTGGTCTGGTGGTGAATCTCCCTGTTATAATGGTGTGAGGGAAAATTCTCATTTCAGTGGAGCAGAGGATCCCACTCTGCATAGGCCCTGCATTAGAGCACTATTGCATAAGATTAATTTGAAGCGTCAACTCAGTGGAGGGCAGCTCCTTAAGTGTGTGACTGCAGTATGTAAACCTTTCCTCTATAGAGATATTCCCCTCTTTAAACATTCCATGGCATTATCCGACAAGTGAATTTCTACTGCTAGCCTGGCCAACAATCCCCCAAATAAAATTAGTCATTTACTTCATGGTTGCTTGTAGGACATTGCCGCTTCCAAATGCACGGTCACTACACTTCACATAGAATCCTGTGAATCACTTTGAGATGTCTCTACGACGTAATATAGCCCTGTACCAAATACAAGAATCTTTGTTGCTCCCTAGAGGGAGGGTGATCTGAATTTAATCTTGATTAACAAATGTTGTCTGGCTTTGCTTGGGCATGAATTTAAATGTGGATCTAATTTACACTGTCGTGGATTAATTCAAAACACTGTTGAAATTACTTGCTCTGAGGTCTTTGCGATTGAAAGAAGTAACCTACTAAACAAGGGACAGTCCACTAATTTATTTTAAATTGCAGCACATATAATTAGCTCACATGCTGTGAAAGGCGCTGTACAAATGTAATTTTGTGGTTGTTACTGTGGAAGAGGTGCTATCGATTCTGGTGCCAGTTTTGTCATACATTTTACTGTGTGCATTTCACACTGTTTATAGCTAATTGAATCATTCTTATTGTTTTCCATGACTTTCCTTTGAATATTTTAAAGCACATGTTTATTTGAGCCTCTACAACCATTAAAGGGAATTAATTGACTGAGCCTTCACAATGGTCTGTGGGTAAACAAATTGACAGATGTAGCGCTGTGCCATACAGTCCAGAAGTTTGCAGCTTCGATTCCTAGTCTGTACCCAAATGAGCTGTTGGTTCTTTCACTTCCAATTTGCCTTAATGCTCCTTGGCTCGTGAGGGAGAAAAATCAGTCAGCTTCTTGTTTCTGATCTCTAATTTGTGATGCCTGCTGAAAAATGTTCGTGCGGAGGTGTTAGATGAAAATAACCATGATGTCCCACGTCTTAAACATGCAGAATTTCCATTTGGGTGAAGTACTCGAGGACACCCATGGAACAGTACACTCGAAGAGTTAAGAAGGGAGCAATTCGTTTAAAAAAACAATGATGAAGCACTTTGAGACATCTCGAAGACGTGATAAGGCGCTATACCAAATGCAAGGATTATTATTACTATTCTTTATGTATGTATATATTTAATTATCCCTTTCCCCAGTTGCAACAGAGGTGGCCATATCAATGTAATTTTCAGAACACAAATAAGTAAAAGTAAAGTGCTGGCCTGTTACAAAGTCTCAGCTGCTTGCCAGATGGTTAGTAAAAAAATAAGCTCTGTATGTTATAAACAGCAAACCCCTTGAGAACCAAAGCTGAGTATGTGTTTTTTTTACATCAACAAAAATCTCCCTAACAGCAAAAATTCAAATATCCACTGAATGTTCCAGTTGAGTTCACTGAGAGATATCCACTGACCTCCACTTGCCACTGTACTTAATCCAAGATATATAATAATAATCCTTGCATTTGTTATAGCACTTTTCATGTCTTCTAGACGTCTCCAAAGTGCTTCACAGAATAGACTGTAAAGTGAATTGACAGTACATTTGTGGCAAAACGCGGCAGATAATTGCACACAGCAGTGTCCCACAAACCGTCATGGATTGAAACTGACCAATTTATTATTGTTTTGGAGGGATTATTATCAGGCATGTGGAGTAAGGAAACTTGCCCAACAACAACAACTTGAATTTATATTGTGCCCTTCAAGTAGGATATCATAAATATTCAGTCAACTCACTTCACAATATATTCTGTGAAGCGCTTTGAGACATCTCAACAACATGATAAAGCGCTGCTAAATCAAATGCAAGGATTATTTGTATTATATAGTCTTGGAGTGTTTTGAAAAAGGGTAGATCTTAGGGTCAATCTTAAAGTGGGATTTAAAGACAAATAGAGAGAAAGTGAGGCAGAGGGATGGTGCAGGGCGATTGAGAGGAATGTAGATTGCAGAGTTGAATACAAATTTTTGATTTTTTTTCTTGGTGACATTCATTTTGGTTACGTAGGGCTTCAAATGGTTCTAGCTGAAACGTGAATACATTTGAGAAAGGCCGTCAGATCTGAGACTCCCTGACTGTGTTTAAAGGGGAGAGCAGAGCTTTTAGTGACATTACTTAACACCATCTCCAAGTCTTCCTTCCCCTCTCACAGGGGAAAATCTATTTTTAAACGAATGTGTTCCAGGCTTGCTTATCCAGTAAAGACCTTTTTGAATATTCTACCAATGTCTTATCTAATTCCAAATTGTTCTAAATTGTCTTAAGTTTCTGCCTGGCCAATTTTATCTTGTTCTCTCTTCTGCTGATGTATATTCATTGGACTCAGAAGAGCTAAGGACAGCTAGCCTTTGTTTGGAGCACATTTTGTTTTTTTTCCTTTTTGCTTATTTGGAAATGAATGCTCAAACCATAATTGAGAAACTTAAATGAAAGACTGTAGTGCAGAACACAGGATTAAAAGACGAGATGTTGTTGTTGTTGAGAGGTAGTACAGGGTTAGACTACACCTTGATTGAGTGCGAGTTTATTTAGACATACAGAACTGTGGATCTGCACTTACTGGAAGCACCATATACCTGGCTTCCAGCATTGACTAACCAGCTTCGAACGAACATGTGGGACTGTTTTCGTTGGAATAGAGTTGAGGGCAATCTAATGGAAGTGTTTGAAATGGTATGAAAAGGATATTTCAACTAATCAGTCAGTCTGTAACACAAGCCTAAATCGAGGATTATTTATTACCAAAAGAGGGAAGGTTAGCAGAATTTCTTTCCCTCTGTACTTTTCTTTGTTGTTGAACCTTGATGTTTTGCTTTTAGGATTAGAATCCTCCTGTGCATTACTTCAAGGTGGATGTTTTGACACGTAGGACAGAGATTTTATTTAAGATAACTGGAGTAAAGTTGTGTCTCTTTGCAGGGAACATGCCAGTCTTGTGGTGTTGGTGGACCGAACCTCTGGGCCTGCCTTCAGGTAGGATTATTTTTGTATTTAATGGGGAAAAGTGAAAACAAAAGCATAGCTTTTTTTCCCCCTCTTTCTCCTCTAGGGAATAAAAAACTATGTACAGTACTATAATGCCGGGAAAAGTTTTATTTGTGGATGCTTGAAGCAAGTCTAAAAATGGAGGCTGGTCCAAGCCTGATGGTGTTCAGTTCTGTTGTATCAGGTTTTTATTTTGTCACCAAATCTTAACATTGATTCCATGTTTTTTCTTTGTTTCAGAATGGCTGCTCCTATGTCGGATGTGGGGAATCGTATGTCGACCATAGCACTTTACACGCACAGGTTGCAGAGGTTACTTTGTTCTTTCTCTCTTCTTCTATCTTTCCCTCCCTCCACTATATTATAGAATTTAAAACATTTGTTTCAGTCAAGTTAATTGTTCAAATCTGATAAGTCCTGACATTTTCTTCAATCTCAGGCTAAGAAGCACAATCTGACCGTGAACTTGACTACTTTCCGGGTTTGGTGTTACGCTTGTGAGAAGGAAGTTTTCCTGGAACAGCGGCCAGTCACTCCCAACCAGGCCCAAGCAAGCCGGCTAACAGACCAGGTACCTGGCGAGTGTTGCTAAACCTGCACGCGACTACACTTGTATATCAGTGTACTGGGTGATCTGTTTGAGGGTGGGATAACTCAAGGCCATACAGGGGCTTGGAAATCGATCCAGTTACTTACTGTTGTATTCAGCAGTCATTTTATTTCCTTACCACTTCCCTTTAATTCTCTTCTTCCCTTTCCTGAAAGCACCAACTGATGCTGCAGTATGTTCCATGGCACCAACAGCAATCCTCATCCAAATGACACATTTTTAATGTGCGAGTCTGTGAAGTTAGGGTCAGCAGCTCTTTAGAACTTGGGAAGCCAAACCCAGTCCCCGTGCGCATTTGTTTCCTGACTGGAATCACTGATTTACATTGAAGCCTGACGTCTTTTTGTTTTTTTTCCCCTCTAGTTAATTCAGGGAAGCCGAGTTAAGGGTAGCACCCCCTCCAACTAACGTGGTTCAGATCAGCTAACTCTGCTCAGGCCAGACCACCCGGGAAGGTGCAGCTCAGTACCACACTGGGTTGTTCATTAACTTACTGAATCGTCAAACGAGTTGTATTCAATGAGATCTGGAACTGCTTCATAAGAAAACAGGAAACTAATGCGTTCATTTAATTCTATAACCACATAAAGTGCAATACTTGTGAAGCACTTAGCACTATATTTGCTCTTTGAGTTACTGTTGTAATCATTGGGTAATTTTCTTCAGGACTCTACATTACCTCCTGCCAGCCACCCACTCAAAGCTGTGCCCATTGCTGTAGCGGATGAGGGAGAATCAGAATCTGAGGATGACGAGTTAAAGCCAAGAGGTAACCATGGATATCATTGATTATGACTTTAGCTGAGACTTATGCATGTGTTTTATTTGATAAGTGCGATATTAAAAAATAATAACAATTTGGTCACTCAATCCATGACTGCTTGTGGGACACTGCTGTGTGCAATTTACTGCCACAAAATATATAGTCAATTTGCTTTACAGTATATTCTGGGAAGTGCTTTGAGACATCTCAATGAAGTGATATGGCGTGATATCAAATGCAAGGATTATTACGATTATGATTTACTATTACATAGAGAATTAATCCAGAGATTCTATATCCTGGTGTTAACCTGTTGGTGTTCTAGTGTGCTGTGCAATGTTTCCTTCATTCTGAGTTCTTGATCGCACTTAGCTGGATGGACACTGGGGCTGGAAATGTGTGGAATGAAAGCTGTTGATCTTTTGGGAGAGTGGGATGAACTGTAGTACCTTGTGTTCTCTTAGTAGCTGGATCAAGAGTGGCGTTGGCAGATGTCTGGGAACAAGACATTTTGTCTAAGACAAGGATGTGTTGTATTGTGTATGGCTGGGGGAGGGTGTTCAGTGATATTCCTTCCAGACCCTAGGCTTTGGGAGCAATACACACGCAAAGCTCTCTTCATAATTCTCGGCGTGCTTTAAGGTTCGAATTCACAAGCGCAAATTTAAAAAATAAGAAGATTACGTAAGCTCATTAAAATCCAACACTTGAGTTTGAACCAGTACTTTCTTGCAGTTTGTTGGTATTTAAAACGTTCGCTTGACAATCGCTGAATTGAATTACTGCCTTAAATTCTCAAATGAGAAAACATCACAAGGCTCATTGAGCCTGAACCTTCCAGTGGATTGGTTAAAAATAAGCTGATGTGGACTCTGTGTGTGTGTGTGTGTGTGTGTGTGTGTCTCTCTCTGACCCATTTATTCTGAAAAGGGTAACAACAACTTGCATTTATATAACGCCCTTCACGCTGGAGTGTCTCGAAGCACTTGTAAATAACCACAGTTCAAATTTCCGGGGGCTCTTGTGAAATTTCTCCCCAATCCCAGAAGGTAACCCAGCAAAACTCCAGGATATCAATCTAATAACTGGTCCATGCTGTTTAATCTTCACCAGTTACATTCTGCAGATGTTTTTGTGATCCCAGCAACGCAGGAACTGTGATGCTCCATGGAGTATTTGATGATTCATCTTTATAGATGTACACTACTATTCATCCTACTTCTAAATAGAGTGTGATAGAGATGGCAGCTCCCACAAGTGTGGTATGTAATATAGAAGGCTGTTGCATCATGATTTTTCCTCTGTAGTCCTCAGCCATGCATCATGAGCAAATCCGACATCAACTTTTAAGAATGGTCCAGGCATATATAGGATTTAAGAATCATTCAGAGCTTGGCACTAAAGTGCACGTAGGACTCTAGCATTAATGCTTGCCCTCATGAACTGTTCTTGTTCCTTGTATCTGTTAGGGCTAACAGGAATGAAGAACATTGGAAACTCTTGCTATATGAATGCTGCTCTTCAAGCTCTGTCCAACTGGTAGGAATTTTTTCTTTTGTGAAATTATGCAATTGTTTTAACTAAAGATTCCTGGAACTAATCATGTATCACCAATGGCTGATATGAATTCCATCCAGGACTAGTAGATTACCAAAAAATCCTCAAAAGAAACATGCGTTTGTTTCTGTCTTTTGGTTTCCAGGAATTGCAGTTTCCACGAATAATTGCTGTAACACATGAGAAGATTCTGTAATGTTTCCAATAGTGCTTAAATAATCTACACTGTACCACAGTGCAACTTAGTTACAAAAGGTTTTGCGTAGCTATTTGCTTTTTGTTTAAAAAACACGTTTAAATTCAGAGTTCTGTATTTTTATAATATATAATAATATCTTAAAGTAGAGAAATGAGTGACATAGCAAGGTGGTCTGGATCACTGCCTTCTCCTGATATCTCACTCTGTTATGCTTATAGATCATGTGGCTAAACTTCTTTAAATGGTTCATTGGAAATTTGACTCAAGTCTTGATCTGCAATACAAGATTTATAATTTAATTTCAACTATTGATTATCTCTGAAAATGGCCATTTCTAGTATTAAGCAAATCCTATTTGTGGTCACTTCTATTCTGGCCACAAATTTCTAAAAGCATTGTACTTTGTTTTCTAGCCCTCCACTCACCCAGTTCTTTCTAGAATGTGGAGGTTTGGTTCGTACAGACAAGAAGCCAGCTCTTTGCAAAAGCTACCAGAAACTCATCTCCGAACTTTGGCACAAAAAACGGTATGGACTCGTGCACAATACTGTCAGAGCTCAAATATTACTTCCTCCGGGTTATAAATGGGACCAGCAGTGGCTTAGTTGGCTTTAAACGTTGTTGCACACTCCAGGTCCTTTATGTAACATGAAGGACAACCGCTGAAGTTGTTCAATTAAAAACTGTAATTCATTCTGAGTGCCGTCACTTGCCTTCAATCCCTGAAAGGATTATTCAGTTGCAGACAATGTAGGCAACATCATTAGTTAATTAGATTTGACAGCCAATAGATCAACAGTAGGAAAGGGTCTGTCTGTTAAAGCTGGTCTGAATATAATTTTTGGAAAGATGTATAAGGTGCTCGTTTGGGTTTGTTGAATGGGAGCCGCCTGTAAAACAATTGGGACAAAACCACAAATGTGAAGCTGAACCAGTTTACATTGAGAAACTCAAAAGTCGTTTGACTGCCTTGAACCTACACGATCAAATATATATCAATTACACAATTCTTAGTTTACTTTTTCCAGAGTTTTTGCTGGGGTGACTTTGTTTTACAAATATCCCTTTTGTTCTGGATGTTGGGTTCAAATCTATCCAGGTACTGAGAAAGGATGTCTCCTGGTTGGAAAGTAAATGTATTTAAGCAGACTTGTGTCAGTTGTATAATAGTGGAGAGGGTGTTTTTGATTGTATAAAGTGCAATTGACTTCTACACTCACCATAACTAATTTTTCTCAATGAGCACATATGAGACTGCAACACAGACTTGTCCATAGTTCAGACTTAATGGCAATTGACCGGAGCATTTGTATCAGTAAAACATGCAACTGTGCAGTTAAACCAGCCAACTCCTCCTGCGGTTGAACGGCATTCTTTAGAACAGTTTTGAAATGCTTCACGTAATTGTAGTGCGAGGGTTTCAAAAGGATGATATCCAGGCCTTTTAACAAGTAGATGCAGTTTGCAAAATGGCAAGAGCCATTCTGTTGCATGTTGAGTTTTACCCGTTGTCTGTTGGGTGTCCTAGATGATAATATAGTGCTTGGAATATGCACCATGAACTAACTTAAGCAGTGTTGCGTAGTGTTGCACAGTTATTGATTTCACTTTTACTGGTGGATTTGTTCTTGAATGAGAAAACTGACTTCCTAGCCTGGATATCAATATCAGTCATATTAGAATGGTTAGAATGAAAAATGCAGAAGACTGGTTTCAAATCTTTATTGGAATGTTTATTTCCCACCAGTTAAAATATGGGCGAGAATGTAGAAAAGAAACTCCCACGTCATATGCCAGTGGGCAGGGATTTTTGACTGTATCGAATGCAATTGACTCCTACTCTCACCATAACAGATTTTTTCTCTTGTTCAGTCCTAGCTATGTTGTTCCTACAAGCCTTGCCCATGGGATTAAACTGGTTAATCCTATGTTTCGAGGTTATGCACAACAGGTAAGGCAGGCCGGTTACATGCAACAGGTAAGACGGGAGGGATTCTGTTTCTCTTTAAGGAAATAGTGTTTGTGTAAATTGTATATTTAAAGGATGGTCATTGTTTGCATCAGTGTTAAGTCAGCTCAGTTAACTGCACATGAGCTTCAGACCCTGTTGTGGAACCCATACCAAATACTAAACATCTGGAAGATGAGAGAACTGCTCTGTACTCTTTGAGGTGCTATCAAGCAGCAGAGGACATGACTGCATTTCTATGGTGGCGGACAATGAACTTCTGCTTGGGTTTGTCTTTTTTTTTAAAAAAAGCTGGATCGGTTTTTAAGAACTATCTGATTATTAGATTTATCAATTTTGGCAGAACCATAACACTCTGGGGAATTCTGATCCATAAACTTCCACTTCAAAGCATATGGATTATATCTGCAAATGGCGTGGGTTGTGTGGATAATGGCCTGAGTTGAAAGTTGATTTAACTTTCCTTAGGAAAAGAGCAGAATGACCCTCCCTCAAATATAAAGACACATCTACGTCTATTCACGTGTGCTATTTAAGGGGATTTTGTGCGTGTGTGTGTGTGCTTTTATTTATTGCCAATTAATTTGGTCCAGATAGTCCAGTAATTGCTTCACATTCCCGGTGCGGTAGGTTTGAATCTTGGGGCTCACCCGACACTCTCTTCTGGTCATACTTTTCGGTAATGGAAGTGACGGGTCCTTGCTTTACATGAAGTGAATGTCTCGGCTTTTTTTAACAGTGGTATATAGTGACAATACGTCGAACAGTATTCATCTGGTGCTAAGTGAAGTGCGGTTTTCCAAGCTTTAAAAATATGCCAAGTTAAGGTGTAACGTCAAAAAGAACTCAAACCCACCTTGTCCAGTGCAGTTAATCCAAGTGTGGAGTCCTATATAGTTCCACTGTAATTGAGTACAGGTTATTCTGGTGACAGAAGTGGGAAATACCTACTCAGACTGCAGTGAGTTGCTGCAAGCAGAAGTAAGGTATAATTGGATCTAAAAATTCAGAGCTCTAAAGATTGCAGGTGGCTGAGAGTTGTAAATTTGTAAATGTAAATTTGTAGAAGTGTACTGTGAGAATATAATAAGGAAGGCAAATAGTTGATATTGTTTCGGGTTTTGGAAAAAGGAAGCCAAAAGGAAAGCTTGAGAGGGAGGGTAAAGCTACTGAAAGTAAATGGTTGACTTGGATTTCAGTCCTTTATACCACTCTCGATAGAATGTTTCAACTAGTTTCCAGAACGCTGTTTGGGTGCCAGTTTGACAGTGTTTAGAGCCCCCATTGACTGCTATCTCCACTGGCTTTAGAACCCGAGATGCTGTGTGAGCAGTGTACTGGAGGAATTGCTATTTTGGCAGTTTTTCATATATTGCAAGTTAGATCCTAGTTTTACTGTACAGAATATCTTCTCTAATTGGGATCAGCCCATTTACAGTTAAGCAAATAATAAATACTTATTAAAATTGGTTGTAGCGATAACCCCAAAAATTGTTCCTGTTATAAGTTCCTGTTACCTGTGTGAAGGTAACTATAGTAATGCAAGTTGTCGTTGTTCTGTTATATATACCACACAGTACCAGAGCCTCACTTTCTGTGTCCGCCTGTGTGACTTTCTCGAAGTCTGTCTCGGACTCTGACCTTATAGTATACAAAAGAATAAATGCTTACCTTTGCAATACAGACCAAAACATTTCCTTGAACATACACAAAATTACATGAATCCGCTGAGTAGGTAAATCATCTTCCTAGTATCCTCGTGTGTGTTCCTGCAACTACGCACCAGCCCACAGGTGATTTTTTTTGCTGATATCTCGTAGCCCTACAGCCACTACTGTATCGAAGCCTCATGTGGGTAGTTGTGGATAAACAGCATTCTGCTGCATTGGGCTGATGAGAAAACAATGTTGACTTTTAGCAGTAGACACTGCTGGCTTACTTATGGAGGAGCCTCCAGTATATTGGTTTTGACTCCGGGTTTTGAACGTTTTTATTTATTTAGTTGGAGCTGCTAATACGACCTGAATTCCGGTTTAAGGCTAAGCCACGTACACGTGCAAAATTTTAAATAAGAAGAAACGACAAAAAAGTGGATCCAGAATTTTTCATTAACCAGAGGGGACTGGTCAGCTTTCCATGTGTTTGCGCAAAATATGTGGAGTGGGATGAAGCATTCTGAAATAAACTGGCAATGTTCTACTTGCATTCAGGATTAAAACATAATTACTGAAGACTTGTGGAGCAACCATTACGTTTTAATTACATTTTTAAATAAAAAAACTTGGACCATTGACATATGTTTCTTAACCTGAAATAACATAGTGTGACCAGGCTGTTGAGGAGTCCAGACCAAAATGTTCACTGGACAACTTTCTTAAATGAAGGACTGGTATAAGCACAAGGATTCTGCCTCTTATCTGCGATGTAAAGGTTCAAGCTCCTTCCAGTGGCAGAATACACGTACTGCAGGACTCCGATTGTATTATTTCTTTCTCATTGGTTTAGTTTTGACACTGATTTAATTTTTGTGGAGGTTTTGACACTCAGATAGATAGCAAATTCTAAACCTACTGAATTGTTAAACGTTAATTTTCTACATCGGCCCCCAGAAAGTCTCACCTGCTGTCCCACGTGTTGTGTTTTCCAGGATACCCAGGAATTTCTCCGCTGCTTGATGGATCAGCTCCATGAAGAGCTCAAAGAACCTTTAACAGAGCGCGACACCGACTCCTCAAGTGACACGGATGAAAAGAGAGACGGTGACAGGAGCCCGTCTGAGGATGAGTTTCTCTCCTGTGACTCGGGAGCCAGTAGTGATAAAGGGGAGGGGGAGAGCAAGAGCAGGTGCTCTTCGGAGAAGCAAATTGAAACTGAACTGTTGATCCAAGACGATTATGGAAAAGGAATCTCTGAAAAGGAAAGACAGAAGGATAGAAAGTTTTCGTGTGGACAACACAGAACCGGATCGGTGGATGCGATCGATGAAGATGCAGATGTGGACACGACCATGAGTTCTGGGGACGCTGGAGGTTCTGGCGATGCCAGACCTGCGGTGGTTTCTCCAAGTCCCCGTAGGACACCAGGTAAAGTATTTCATCTTGTCTAAACCTTGAAGAGCCAGACGTTGTCAACAAGCTCTTCTTGTTAGGTCCTCCCACTTGTCTGAATGCTTTGGAAGCTCTCTCTCTACTATTATTATGCTGCACCTACAGGAATAGATAAACCATTAAAACCCAGTATTGCAGAAGTATCGCTGTTAACATTGTGATCTGCATTGCCGTGTACCCAGCCCATAAATGGGAAGAAAACACTGACAAACAATGTTGATGTAGTATTGACTGAATTAATCCCATGTTTGAGCCTCGTCATGTGCATTAGTAATCTGTTTGTTTCATTCCTGTTGTGTGTCCCAGAACCTGACAACGATGTGTACATGCGATGCTCCTCACGACCCTGCAGCCCCATCCACCAGGAAGCTCATTCCAAGTTCTCCAGCACTCCTCCTCGATCGAGTCCGATCAGGACAGGAGCAACCTTCTCTCTCAAAAAAGGTATCTCCCTCCAATGGCTTTAAAGCAATGGTATCCACCTTGCCCCCTCCCCATTTTCAGGTTACGCTTGAAGACCTTCCTCTTCAACCGTGCCTAAGGTCACCTTCCCCCTCCCCCTGGCTGGGCATTGGGCTCCGCCACTGTTAAGTGCTCCAATGCCTGTCTGGTGTGAAGGGCGCTTTATAAACGCAAGTTGTTGTAGTTAGATGTCAACAGAGTTGAATCTAAACTAAGTCCAATGTATTAAGCTAATCCTTTCTGTCAGGAATAAAGGGAAGATCCGATGTCTTTAAATAAATTTTATTCCAATGCAACTCATCTTATATTTCCAAGCAGTTTCCAACCAGCGCCTTGGGACGTCCTCCTGACGTGAAAGGCGCTTTATAAATGGAATCTTGTTGTTGTTGTTGTTGTTTGCGCATCAGCATTAGCAAAATCCTTTAGCCACATATTACTGAATAAATTCAAACTATTTTTAGGTTTCGTATTGTCGTATGTAGGATTCCTGCAATTTCATACTTAAGATTAAGAGTGATAAAGGATGTTTCCTCGCTATAGACACTTTGATGTTTATTATTCTGGATGTCATCGGTAATCACTGTAACTGTTAAAACTTTTAAAACTTTACATTAACTTGATTCTGTTTTTCTCTTTGAATGTTTTTCTTTACGCAGCCCAGCTTCTCTTGACGACCAAGAAGAAAAAACAGCCCAAGTATCGCAGTGTGATCTCTGATATCTTTGATGGCTCCATATTGAGTCTGGTTCAGTGCCTCACTTGTGACCGGGTATGCATCTCTTTGGTTGGGAAGGGAGTGGGATGGGGTGGGGGAAAGGAAAACACATCTGTCTTAGTCTGTGACATTTGATGTTCGTTTAGCACCAGTCATCTGAAAAAATTGTAAATGCACACGCAGAAGACCCGCCTGGTTTCTCACATTCGAATGAATGGGAATCTTCCTTGTCTTTGGTTTGCTGCCAACGTCATACACTCTGCGCATGACAACAGTTATCCGATGACCCAGAAGTCAGCCATTTTGTCCAAGTCTTTGATTAAGGCATTAATCCTGTCGAGCTTTTCCCTTTCCAGATTTCTTCCACAGTGGAAATGTTTCAGGACCTGTCTTTGCCGATCCCTGGTAAGGAAGACCTGGCAAAACTCCATTCCTCCATCCACCAGACGTTACCAGTGAAGACTGGCACTTGCGGAGATGCCTACGCAACTCAGGGTTGGGTAGCATTTCTCATGGATTATATTAGAAGGTAAATATATTAGATGTCCGTTTCCTTAATTTGGTGGATTCAGAAGAGTGTCCCACCAAACTCACAGGGGTGATGTCCAATGTCAGGTAATGGGATTCCTTAGTTAAAGATATTTGAACCCACTGTAAAAAAACAAAAGGGGAAAAACTTCCCTTTTTAATAAGAAATTGCAGCTTGATACCAAACAACAATATTTATATTGAATCTTTATAAATGATCCTAAAAATAGGTTTGTTCCTTAATCGTACCAAACATTTATTTTTCTGGTAGATATCTGTCGCTGATTACAGTTCTGCATTGCTATCAATTATCTTGGCCTTTGTAAATTGAAATGGAATTTTTGATTTTTTGCATTTGATACAGCGCCTTATCACATCTTCGAGTCTCAAAGAGCTTCACAGGATATACTGTAAAGTGAATTGACTGTATTTTGTGGGCGAAATGCCGCAGTCAATTGCGCACAGCAGCGACCCCCAAACAGTCGTGGATTGAGTGACCAAATTATTATTATTGTTTTATTATTTTATTTGAAGGGATTGTTACCCTTTGACACTTTGTGATCATTGTTCTAGGTTTGTCGTGTCCTGCATCCCGAGCTGGTTCTGGGGTCCTGTGGTGACTTTAGAAGATTGTTTAGCTGCCTTTTTTGCTGCTGATGAGTTGAAAGGTCAGTTCAGTGCTGTTCTTTAATGTACGGAAGTTTTCCATTTCACAATATCTCCAGCAGATGACAAGGTGAAAAACAAGGAACTTCTCAAGACCTTTATAAGAGGACATCTTTATGCTGAGACTGAGGTGATTGAGACTGAATTCAAGACTGAGGTGGATAAATATTTGTTCAAGGTATTAAGAGTTACGGGGTAAGGGCGGGTAATTGGACTTGAGGCACGGATCAGCCATGATCTTATAGAATGGCGAAACAGGCTCATGGGGCTGAATGGCCTTCTCCTGTTTCTTTGCTGAGTTTAGGTTGTGGGTCAGCCTCCTGCTGCTATGAGCCACTGCAAAGAAAAAGTCCTCTGACTAGTGGGAACTGATACAGTTCTGCCAACTAACAACATCTCTGTCTCCAGCCACTGTTCCCAGTGCAGCTGGAGCTATATTGCTATCCATCCCTTTATTCCTTGACTAATGTACAAAGTAATAGCATGTATCCTCAAAGCAGGCAGTGGATTGAAAAGGGTATTCAACTGATCCTTGAGTGCTATCAGCATCAGCATGAACATATTCCGCTTTCTGTGTTAATTCATCACTGACTGGTTTGAAAGCATACCCAAGAAGACATTTCATAAATATAATTTTTGATTCCCCCCAAATTACTTTACCCGAGTCCTGACTCTCTTTCCCGTGCTTGTTTTCGCAGGCGACAATATGTACAGTTGTGAGCGATGCAAGAAGTAAGTCGGCATGATTTCTGCTTTGATATTAATGCTGCTTCTCGTCTGAGTGAAATGGGGTCAAAGATGGGATTGGGCTGCCGAAGCTTTTTAGACATCAGTTGATTGATTTCCCATGGATTTTGCACCAGACTCATGGGAATTTATTGATTTTATAATCTTCATTTTTAAACCGTAGTTTGGATTTTGCTTTGCAGAAGATTGTTTCCAGGGGAGGAGATGGTGGGGGGGGGTTTGCAGGGATTCGTAAAAGAATTTGCAAATCTTGAATCAGCCAGGATTTGTCTCTTGTCAACCCGCTGATGATCACTCTCTGGGCAAACTCTGTCCTCAATCCGACTTTACAGAAGTCACGATTTACATTAGTGCCAGGACAGAGTCAAGTGGGTCAGAATGAGATTTTTAGGGGGAAAAAAATACTATTTAAAGATTTCTTTCTTCTAAGGATTTTATAATCATTCTAAGGTATGGAGACTTTTAGCCAAGAAATACATGTTCCCCTTTAAGATCTGAATAAATAAATTAATTAGTACTTATTATTCACTTCAGGTTGGTCTTCATTTGTTGAAGCAATGTAGACAGACGTTTCAAAGTTCAGTCCTTCAATCTGAATTTGTTTTCTTTTAAGGTTAAGAAATGGAGTCAAATATTGTAAAGTCCTTAAACTGCCAGAGGTACGTGGTCAAATCTATTAAAATCTTTTCCAGAAACCTCCATCATGTCTCCACTCAACCTTCTCTGTTCCAAGAAAATTAGGCACAGTTCTTCTAGTCTCTGCTCATAGGTCAAAGCATTCATCCTTTGTTTTATCTTAGTAAATCTCCTCTGCGGCCTTCTAATTCTCAATTGCAAAATGAAGAACAATTTACACAGGGTAAACATTATCTCTTTGGTTTTAGATTCTATGCTTCTATTTATAAATCTAGGATCCCATTAGCTTTCTTCACAGCTTTGTCCACCTGCCTGCCCTTTGAAGATTTATGAATGTTTAGTTTATGTATGTTGAGAATTTGGAGCCTGAGGCACGAAGGTTCTGACAAAAGTCGAACAGGATGGCCTGCGTTTCGGTGACATTTAGCTGAAGGAAGCCAAGGCTTATCCAGGGTGATCTAATGACTTCTCAGGGTTGTCACGTAAGAAAGTCATCAGATGAATGAATATGGAAGGTTACCATTGAGTCTTTGCTTCACAACATTGACAATCGCATTAGTTGTAATACATTAGAACGCAATTGTATCTCGCACAATTACTGTTCAACCAGTTTAAAAAGAACTCTGATATAACTTTTTATCATTTGTAAACTTGTTTTTCCCCCCTCCCCATTTCTAGATTCTTTGTATTCACCTAAAACGCTTTCGCCATGAAGTGATGTACTCCTTCAAAGTAAATAGCCATGTCTCCTTCCCATTGGAAGGACTTGATCTTCGACCCTTCCTGTCCAAGGAGAGTCCATCTCAAATTACAACCTATGATCTTCTGTCTGTGATCTGCCATCATGGGACTGCAGGGAGTAAGTAATCGTCGTGTCATTCAGTGTCAACTTAACAGTGCTTCACAAAAGAGCTGTGCATTTTCCCCAAGACTATGGTGGACGTAATAGTTTATCTCTGCAACTGTATTTTTTTTCAAAGTACTGAATTCAACATCCCATTATCACTGCACGCATGCGCTTTGAGATGCTATCCCACGTGAAAGGTTCTATAAAAATGCAAGTTTTTGTTGTGACTTGGGTCCATGGAAGGCTCGTGATCAGAACTGTACACGGTACTGCAGTTCTTGGATGCAGAATCTCGAATTTTAAATTCTTTCAATTGTTCGACTGTTAAATGTTCTGCAAAATGTCATAAATTCAGTGAGATAAAAAGCCATATAGTTAGTCACTGCAGCTGGCAAGTGTGGAAGTAATGGAGGATAGGGGAGTGGCGTTACGAGTTAGGAGATGATTAATACGACTGGTGCAAAGAAATCTTATGCGGTTTTGATAGGAATGAATGGGACTTGGGTGCATGAACAACTGAGGTGATTTTACGATTTATAAATATAAGCCTTCTATGGGATGTCCTATAATGGGAAAAAATGTAACCATCTTATTTAGGTTTTTTCACTTTTAATTCCAGTGAAGTGATATGGACTGAATTAAGTAAGGCTGGTGTTTTACAGGTGGTCACTACATTGCCTATTGCCAGAATGTAATCAATGGGCAGTGGTACGAGTTTGATGACCAGTACGTCACTGAGGTGCATGAGACGGTTGTACAGAATGCTGAGGCCTATGTCCTTTTTTACAGGTGAGGAAAACCAAGGTTAAAATATAAAGCAAAGAGAAATGGCGATGTTTTTTGACAGGTTTTGACATAGAATAGTCGAGAAATCTTCATATTACCATTTTAGTGAGAAAACAGTAATTGCGTGTCCTCCAAATGATGCCCTATATCAAACACATCTCTTGCATATTTCAGAGTATATATTTGGAACGACCGGGGTTCCTTTCCCACCCCCTTTCTCAGTTGTCCTTGTGTGTTGCAGGAAGAGCAGTGAAGAGGCTGTGCGAGAGAGGCAGAAAGTTGTTGCTTTGGCCAACATGAAAGAGCCCAGCCTCCTCCAATTCTACATTTCCAGAGAGTGGCTGAACAAGTTCAACACGTTCACTGAGCCCGGGCCAATCAGTAACCACACCTTCCTCTGCTTACATGGAGGTCAGTGTTCCAAGATAAATGGCAGAAGCTCCAGTTGGATTAGGTATTGCCTAAGATTCTGTCACAATACCCTTATCTCCGGGCGAGAATTACATGCTCCCTCCAGGTGCACTCTGAAAGGAGCGATCCTTCTCTTCTCAAATTACTATTAGGGTACGTGCCAGGTCAGAGCATTCTCACAAATCACACCCAACATTTGGCTTTGCTTTCAAAGTAGCTCCAAATAATTCTGAATGTGTGTAGACTTTCTGACTTTCCTGTGAAACTCTCACACGTGCTTCATTCTTGTACAACGTTAAGATTTTAAGGATTTAAACTGCATCAGAATTGAAGAGCAAATAGTGACGGTTTTCCCTTGTATTACAGGTATTCCTCCTAACAAATACCATTACATTGATGATCTGGTGGTTATTCTGCCCCAAAATGTGTGGGAATATCTTTATAACAGGTAAATGTAAATCAATTTGTCAGAATGATGGGACTAACTAACCAAGAACAAAACACAAAATACTGCAGATGCTGGAAATCTGACACAAAAACAGAGAGAGTTGGGAAAACTCAGCAGGTCAGGCAGCATCTATGGAGAAAAGAAAGTGAGTCAATGCTTTGTCAGTCCAGTTGACTCACTTTCCTTTCTCCACAGATGCTGCCTGACCTGCTGAGTTTTCCCAACTCTCTCTGTTTTTGTAACTAATTTAACCGTTTGGTTCAAATGCATGTCAAAAAACTGAAAAGGAAACTCTAAGGCTTGGGACAACAGCTGATGGAGACCAACATTGTAAGCCCACGATTATATATCCAGGGCTTAGTATCCATCGCTACATAGAGTTAAGCAGCTGCTGCTTAAGATTTGCACTTCCAGCTGATGAAACCATTGCATAGGCAGCATGCACATGTAAAACTATGTTCTGGACCCTCATGCACGGTGATGGGATTTCTGCATGTGTCAGATTCCTGACTGACCAAAAAAAAAGGGGAAGAAATGATGAAAATTATTGTTGCGCTTCTAGGATTCTATGTACAAGTCTAGCAGTTAGCTGAGGGCCTGCGTTGGCCATTTGTTTTTTTTTCTGGCCACCTACATGTTGTCATTTTATAATCTTATATTGTCCATCCAAACATAACAGTGCCATGGTGAAACCCTTGTCCGTTAATTTTGTAGCATTTGCACGAAAGCACTATGTGTAATGTTCAGTTGTTTCTAATCTTCTCCAGCCGAGTGTTTAGCTGCTTCCGTTTTGTGATTGTGGCAGGTTTGGAGGTGGCCCGGCTGTGAACCATTTGTACGTCTGCTCAATTTGCCAAGTAGAAATCGAAGCTCTCGCGAAAAGGAGGAAAATGGAAGTGGACACCTTTATAAAGGTGAGAGATTGCAATTCCCAGACCTTGAAGGACAACCAGATTTTTTTTTAAAACTAAATACTTTGAAAAGTACTGATTAAATTCTATAAGTTGCATTTTCCCCTTGTCACATTGTCCATAATAAGGAAATAGGACTGTGCTCTTAAGCTAGAGAATGTTGAGTGCATTTGAGATACCTATTGTATTTTTTATCATTGCTGAAGTAAATTAGTTTCCTGTTGAGAAACGTCTACACCTACCGTAACTCTCGACTGTGTGCTCCTAGCTTTGAGACTATGGGCGAGAAGAGTTTCCGGGATTATCCCCGATTCTTTTGTCCCGCTCCATAAGGAACGCCTGGCCCTGACTAAGCCACTCTCAGTGCCCAGTTGACATTGAAGTCCTCCCACATCTATAGATGTTAGTGCACTGTTGGTACGTGGAAGGGATTTTAATAAAAATTCAAAGATATTGCACCTATCAAAAATATATCTTTCACTCGTGATTACCTATCTAAATTGGTAGGCTCATAAAACAAATAATCACTAATGCATTGGTGTAAACAATATCCTGTGACATCCCCATTCAGGTTCTCTCCACTTTTCTTTCAGCTAAACAAAGCGTTCCAGGCAGAGGAGTCTCCCAGTGTTATTTACTGCATCAGTATGCAGTGGTTCCGGGAATGGGAAGGCTTCGTTAAAGGAAAGGACAATGGTAAGAAATCGTCGATATATGCACTGTTGTATTCTTGATGTGCGTGATCAGTATTAATCCAGGCGTGAGGCGTGCATTTAATTTCTGGTATTTCAACACAGGGAAAGGATTTGAAATTGTTTGGAAGTCATGCTTTGTGAGAATGTGCGGAATTTGATGGAAATCGCTAAAATAACCTGATTGTGGAATTGTATTTATTTCTTCCTCTCAGAGCCCCCAGGTGCAATAGACAACAGCAAAATAGCAGTGAACAAAGGTGGCCATGTGCAACTTAGACAAGGTATGCAAGATTGTTCAAAACCAGCTTCAGAAATGTGTTAAATTTCAGTTTGGATTGCATTTATAATTGCATGATGAGAAGTCATGAACAGAAGTGTAATATCTTTTTTTTACAATTTTTACAAACAAGTACAAACAGCAGGATCCGGGGAGGGTGGGGGGAACTGCAAGGCAAAGTCACTCTACTCCATCAACACGTCCAGAATCCTCCAGTCATATTGTGACAGCGCTGTGTTGTGAGAGGCTACGGGAGCCGGCAGTGCTTAGAACGAAAAAGAAAAGACTCAGGGGATTGACCTTTCTGTTCAGAAACCGACATGCCTTATTTATATGTTGTTTTCATCTCTGACGAGCTGAATACTGTTTCTTTCAGCAGTTATACTTGTCCTGGTCAGATATATTTTTAAAAAATCCTCACATTTGATACTGGCTGACTTGCCATGTAGGGATGTACTGGATGTAGTATATCCAGTTTACACCCCATTACACTGCAGTACACCTAGCTTGCATTTCATGTAAACTACTGTATATCAAAGGTGAGACGGAAACAGACAGTAGTCTTTGGGACTTCTGGTTGAAATGGGAGCAGGTATCTAATAGAATACCTCAGGGATCCTTCTCAGTGTATATATCAATGACCTAGTGCCTTTTACAGTAAGGAAATCAATACCAGGACTCGGCAAGTCAGTGGGAATGAGAATATCTCACAACCTGCTTGCTGATATTGTAGTTTCGCCCTCAGTATATAGTCAATTCACTTTACAGTATATTCTGTGAAGCGCTTTGATACGTCTCGAAGTAATAAGGTGCTATATAAAATGCAAGGATTATTATTATTTACTGTGGTTGTCATTTATTTAGGTGCTGATTATGGCCAGATATCGGAGGAAACTTGGAGCTACTTGTATACTATTTATGGCGGAGGACCAGAAATCGCCATGCGGCAGACTGTAGCTCAAGCCGAGATGGAAAGCCTGCAAGGAGAACGGAAAATAGAAGCGGAAACTCGAGTTGTGTGACCACAAAGCTGCCAAAATATATATAATAGATGGAAAGGTACAAGGAACTAGAAGTCACTGAACTTACAAAGGGCGTACACTAGTTCTGAATCTGAAGCACAGAAATGTTGTACTTCTCATCGAATTCTTCCATCTCTTCCCTAATAATGCCAAATTCTTACATAATGCAATAATCCTGCATTGTAACACTCTGTTTAGACTGAGTTGATCTTAATCCAAACCGGACATTATGTTAATTTACTGAAAGACATTGTTCAACTCTTCCCTCCCCCACGTAAAGTGACATAGTGGTGCACTGATCTATTTGTTTCTATGTGAAAGCACAGGACATTGAGATTGAACAAAAACTGGTGGAATAATAAAGGCTAAATGGCCGCCTGCAGTTCATCCTGTTCTTGTTTTCCAATGTCCCCACGTGGCAGATTGCAGGAAGGACTATGCAAGAGATTTAAAAGAGAATAGAAGGGTGAATTACCCATGCCCATTCAGTTGTGAGGTTGAGCTGGTGATGTGCCTACTCTTAACTGGCTGTATTTTGCTAAGCCTTCATTAGTCCTCACTAATGCTTGTCAAACACCTTTCTATCTTTCAGGTCATGTTTTAATACTGAACTCAAGGAACTGAGTGCTGCAAAGTTTGCACCTGTGATGAATCTACGTGAGCACTTTGTAATTTAATTGTAGATTTTTTTATTGTTTTTTCCTTTCTGACTTAATGTACGGATAGAAAAGGAATATGTGGCATTAAATATTGTATAGTAGACCGTCCTATGACAACACTAAACCTGTACTTCCGTAACTCTGTATTTCCTCAACATAAGGCCTACATTTATGTCTGTCCAATGTGCATCTATAAAACCAGGTTGCTTCATTAAGCAAAATCTGTCTTATATAATTCACTGCATTGAAGACATCCATTCCAGCATTCTACCTCCTAATCAGGAGAACTCAAGGTTTTTAGTAACATTGCTTATTGGCTCATCTTTAGCTCACTACTTCTCTAGTGCATTACTTCTGTAGCTCATTGCTATAATGCAAGTGACCTCCATTTTGCATTGGTGTGACTGTGCAAGTTTGGTTTTCCTCAAGGCTAATCTTGATTATTGTCAAGACAGTAGGTGGGACAAGGAGTTTGTTTTTTTTCCGAAGTTATTTCCCATAAATCTTCGTAATTGGTACCGTGACTAAAGTTAACCAACCCATCGATTATGATTTTGTGCAGGGCTTTTGTTTTTAGTTCGTAGGTGAGTGGCGCACACTGGGTTTGAAATTCCTTTTTGTGTGTTAATAACTGGTGCAATGTTAAGATGTTTGCATTCGGAGACCAAACTTGCAGCCGAGCCAGGTGCATGGCATCGCGTCTAAATTCTCTTCCACTTTGGGCACTCGTGGTGACTGTTGCAGTGCTAACTTACAATACTGTACAAACTTTAGGCTGATATTTTGTGTTGACACAGATTTGGTTCACTCTCCCCCTCTCCTTATATTAAAAAAAAACTTTTTTTGTCCCTGTGTGAAATCGTTAGTTATTTTTTAAGAGCTGATCAGTCACTGATACAAATGTCTTTTGAAATGCAAAAACGCAGCAGCCAATTTCGCACAGCAGTGTCCCACAAACATTCATCGATTGAGCGACCATATTATTATTATTATTTTATTTTGCCTCTTTGGCAAGGTAGCAGAAGTTATTGTACCCCAGTAGGAGAGGAAAGGTGGTGGAATTCAAACCTTTTTGGAAGAGGAGTTATGGAAACATTTTGATGTTTCATTTTAAAGTTATTGACTCGCAAGGGAATACAATCCCATCTCTCACTATCTCAGAGTATCCATTTAATTATTGTAAAATCTTGGATCCACAGGGAGAGATCTCGATGATTATTAAGCTATTCCTTCTCAAAGGAACGATATAAAAATGTGTCCATATTCCTCAGAGCATATTGATCCTTTATTGAATGTGTAACAGCCTCAGCAGCTTCAGAAATCTGGTTCCCCTGAATACACAAGATAGTCAAGCAACTGAAAGTACCACAAAACAACTTCACATAGACCGGGCTCAATGGCACCGTAAATCTGAAGCAACAAAGCACCATTACCAGTTATTCTATTTAAGCAGCTGATTGCGTTACCAGACCTCCTTGTGCAAATATGCTTTGTGAGGTTGAGGCAGAGATTCAAGGCTCCTCCGTTGATTAATTAAACTCGTACCTGAATGTAATACCATAAAGTGAATGATTTCTCCCAATTTTATGTGTGGATGTACATACACGAGCAGTGTCAAGGTTATACTTCAGAAATATAAGATCACCCACGTCGATTCCTGTTACTTTACACAGAGCTAAAAATATAATACTACTGTTTATATTTTCCAATCTCTATTCTCGTGGCGACTGCAGCTAATGCCACGTAGACTGGTAACCTTTGTGCAGTATCTGACCCTAGTTTTCATGTGTGAGATTCGACAGTGAATGTTGGGCTGTTTAACTCAGGAGGAGGGAGAAATGAGGGTGGAATTTTGCCTTCACCTTGCATGCGTATGCTTAAAGCATGGGTCATGGGATAGCAAGTGGGTGTCTGACTCTCCCCCCTTTTATGAAGTGGTGACCTCAACTCGTCAGCCAACCTATGATTTTCCTGGTCTATATGACTCATTGAGGAGATACAGAGGAGAGCAAATTGGCTGATACCCAATGTTAGAATGAGCTACAAAGAACAACTAGTTAAACTAGATTCTTCAGCCTTGAAAAGAGACATGTTGGAGGGGACTTTGTAAGACGCTAAATGGAGAAAATATGCCCAGAACAATACTTTCAGATGGACCTAAGATATCAGAACAGGAGGGCAAGGATTCAAAGTTAAAGGCAACATTAAAAAGACATCAGGAAGAATTTCACAAGAGAAGTTCGGATGAAGAAGGCTCTTGAGTGAATTTGAACACATTGTTCCGATTGTCAACTCCCTACCGTTGTTGTATTATAGGATCAAGTTGTTTCTGAAATCTAGGTTCGCGGCCTGTATCTGAAAGTATTGTTTTACTTTCTGTATCCCATGTAGTGCATATACTATTCCCATGGAAGGTTGAAGAGCTTTCAGTTGTCATTCAGTTATTCCTGAGAACACTTGACACTAAGGATCAGCCTCAATGCTCTCTCTAACCATTAATCTTTGCTTCCTGGCTACTGTGCTCAAATGTCAGTCAGCAGAGCAATGTTGCAACAAGGTTGGTTCTGATTACACCAAAGTACTATCTGAGCTGTGAACTCTTGAGTCATGAATCTTCATTGCTGAACATGTCTGTCATTAACGGTTGAATTTCAATACTGCACCCTTTGTGAAGTACTGTCATTATGAATATACAACAAAAGGAACTCAAAACAACCCCCAAATATTGAAGTAATATGAAGGAATTTTCTGATTGATGCACATCCACTTAGACAATTGTATTGTCGTCTCACATGGCACTTTAATATCTACATGTGCATTTAGTATCTACAACAACAAAGTTAAATTTGTAAAGCGCCTTTCACGTCGGGAGGACGTCCCAAGGTGCTGGACAGACAGAGTTTCGGGGTCGGGGAGGGTGGAGGGCGGGGGGAAGCAGGGAGATCGAAAGCACGATCGAAGAGGTGGGTCTTGAAGGTGGCAAAGGAGGGGGCGAGACAGAGGGACTGCGGGAGATATATATATATACCATATATGTATTGAACGTGTCTCAATGTATTGTATACTTATATATCTATATGTGACCCAGCAGCAGTGTCAAAGGAACTTACAGGAAGGAGTCCCATCGCAGGCTGTGTGAGACGCTCATTATTGTGCATCATCTTTTTGCTTCGGGCAAACCCACCGTCGTAAGTCGCTGCTCCTGAGCTGTTCTGCTGGTACAACTCGTGTCCAGCTAGGAATAACTCGATTGAGTTTAATGGGACTGGCATTGCAGACCAGCCTGTATTTGCTGAAGCCAGGAGTAAGCCCTGGGCAGAGCTATGAACTCAGTTCCCTCGATTTTATTATCACATCCAATTTGCTGCACTTTCTTTCCACTCGTTTGTAACCAGTATAACTGCTGACAACATCGCTTCAGGTATAGTAAGGTAGATCTGAGTTTAAAGTGCATGGTCAGTGATTCTTTTTCCTTTTTACCGATATATTTAGAGCTTAATAAATTGTTAATAAGTTCTGGTTCTTTAGGCTCTTCAAAGAACAATAACAAAATCCTTAGTGAAGGGAAAACCAGGAACCATTACAAAAGCAGACAGTAAGGAACAGCACTGCTGCAGGGAGTGTGCGGAGACATTGACCTGAAGGACTTCAGGCATTTCTGGGAAGTTTTCATCGACGGGGGCTAATCCATGATCATGTAAGAAGTTGGCTATTTCGAGGCATTTCATGCTAAAAGTTAAAGCAGATCAAGTTTCACACTTTCACATTGGACCTTCCAGGGAATTAGCTTTTTTTAAAAAAAGAATAATGAAACTTATGGCAGCTTATTTCATCAATTAACATAGTTTCATAAAATGATAAGACAATTACGGCACTAAAAGAGGTCGTTGGCTTTATTGATCTTAAACTGGTAACTCTTACCCTGGAGCCAAGTTGTCTAATCTCAATTCCCCGTTCCTTCCTCATACTCTTTATTATTTCTCTTTAAATGCTATGATCACAACTTCAATTGCTACTTGTGACAAGGCATTCGATGTCCTCGTGCCCCTCTGGTGTGTGTGTGAGTATATATATATACATAAAAAAATAGATCTTAACACCTGATTACGGAGCATTTTTGTGAAAGGAAGGAAAAAAGAGCCCAATCCCTTCAGATGAATAAAGGTGTGCAAAGAAAATGAGAGGACAAGGAATGTATGCCTGATTTTTTTAAAAAAAGGAACATCTGGAAGGACGTTACAACTGTGATGAAATCAAGCGATGCACAGAATATCATGTTTTGTGAATCACATGAAATTTCTTTCAGAACTGTGCTGAGTAGGTTACAGCTTTCTCCTGCATATCTGTCACTTCACATGGCTGAGATCTTACAGTGTTCAGATTACTTTCACGAGACAGTGAAGAGTAGTTTTCAGTATACACTGAATAATCTGTCCCCGTCCGCCGCCTTTAGCTGAATGGTACAAATGTGGTTCCAGGTAAACCTCAACGAATAAATTCTGTACCTAATTTATACATATTAATCAGCATTGTGAATCTGTGATGTGCCTATGATACCTACATTGTACTTCTATCATGTTATTTCTCCTTACACACACGTACGAAAGCCGAATTATGCTTCATTGACGGCTTGTTGCGATGGTTATCCAGGGAGCAAGGAAAGTCTGTAATTAATGTTAATAATCCTTGCATTTGATATAGCGCCTTATCAGGTCTTCAAGACATCTCAAAGGGCTTCACATTATATACTGTAAATTGCATTGACCGTATATTTTATGGGCGAAATGCGGCAGCCGGTTGCGGATAGCAGTATCCTGCAAACAGACGTGGATTGAGTGATTTGAGATTTCTAATACTTTATTCATCACAGAGAATATCAGTTGGTGAAAAAGCAATAATCTGTATAACAATGCTTGAGCAATAACTCCCAACATTCAATTCAGTGTTGGATTCTTTATCAAACCATCTTGTTCACAAGATTTTATTTGAGCCCATTTCATCCTCTGGCTTTTCAGTAAAGCTTCCGACTGCCTCCTCATGTCGCTGTTATTTCTGAACTGTTTTATTCACAAGAGGAATTTTTAGTACTTTTTGTATTGAGCCAAATGTTTCATTCAATTCCACAGCTTAGAATTGTATCTGACACTCAATAATTCCTCTTAATGTTTCTGAAGTTTGATATTTATTTCCAAAACTTATGTGAAGGGCCAAAGATTGTATTTACTCTGCTAATATTCTTCTGTCCTGGCGGCATTTTAACCTTTTCCTTCTCCTGCTATCTGCTTCAACTCCAACCTCAGAAGAATATATTTTCACTGATGTTTTTTTTTGCTGTGGAAAAACCTGGAACTAATTAAAAGCCTGTGTGATTCCAGATGTGAAGTGTTCATGTACTGTGACAACGAGTCTCCTCTGACTTGGTTTTATCAGCACTGATTCAAAGGAAAACAATTGAGGAAAAATATTAAAGGAACCAAAGGAGAGAGCAGGGGAATGTGATTATATATTATATATATGTGATAATCCCAGTGGGGCAGTTACTAAAAGCATAGTCATGATGGTCTGAAAGACTCTTGTTGAACCTGTAAATAATTCATGTTGTTCATTAAGCATTATTCAGGACCAGTGATGATATGTGTGGAATGCAATGGTTTTGCAAAAAGGCAAATTAGTAAGAGATTGGAACCAGTATTTGAGATACAGGAAGAATGTTTGAGATAGACAGTGTTGAACACCCAGATACTTCCGTGCTGCTCCAGTCAAATACAGTACTTCTGTCGGACTGGACCCAGTTAGTTTGAGTGTCTCTGCAGGCTGACCAACTCAAGTGCACTCTTTGCTACTCTTG